ACTTAAAGACATAGCAGAAACTATTTTAGGTGATGAACCAGATACTTTTATCCTTAAAGACGAACCAGAAATTGTTTCAGTCAAAGACATACCAGAAATTGTTTCAGTTAACAACTTATCAGAGACTATTTTAGTTAATGACGAACCAGATACTATTTTAGTTAAAGATGAACCAGAAATTATTTCAGTTAAAGACATACCAGAAATTGTTTCAGTTGAAAATCAACAACAAACTATTTTTGATAGAGAGGAATCTGAAAGTTCTGATAGGAATAATAAGAAGATTGAATTACCAGAAAATAAAATGAAAATTACAAAGAATGGTGAGTTTGTTCATATTTAAAATAGGGTAATGTTTACAATACAATAAAACATTTTTAGGGAAACGCCCATATAAATGTACAAAATGCCTTAAAGGTTTCCAGTCGGAAAAGGCTTTTGAGGCACATGTTCCTTGCAAACCCAAACTACTAGTAAAAAAGTGTCGTTGTGAACATTGTTCAAAAGAATTTGTTAATCCCTCTGACTTGAAACGTCACTACTTTGTCCATTCGGAAGAAAGAGCTGAGAAATGCGCCATTTGTAATAAGGCTTTTAAGCATTCCTACCAATTAACTAAACATATGTTGACACATTTGAATATAAAGCCTTTTGAATGTGAAATATGCAACAAACAATTTGGCATCAAAGAAGCATTGAAGCGACATATTTTGACTCATTCTAATAAAAAACCTGTTGAGTGCATGATTTGTGAAAAAAGTTTTATTAGACCAGAACAGTTACAGCAACATTTGAAGATGAGACATTCTGAAAAACCACAAAATACTTTCCCCTGCCCTATGTGTAACAAAATGTTTAAGAGGAAATCTAATTTAGAACGACACCTGAAAGTTATCTGTCCGAATCAATCTGAAGAAATAAAGGAAATAAAACTAGAAGGTTTCCAGGTGGAAACTGCTTTTGAGGCACACACTCCTTGCAAACGCAAACCACCAGTAAAAAAGTGTCGTTGTGATTATTGTTTTAAAGAATTTGTTAAACCCTCTGACCTAAAACGTCACTACTTCGTTCATTCGGATGAAAAAAACGAGAAATGCGCAATTTGTAATAAGGCCTTTAAACACACCTACCATTTGACTAAACATATGTTGACACATTTGAATATGAAGCCTTTTAAATGTGAAATATGCAACAAACGATTTGGCATCAGAGACACATTCAAGAGACATAGTTTGACTCATTCTATTAAAAAACCTTTTGAGTGCACAATTTGTGAAAAAGGTTTTATTAGACCAGAACAGTTACAGCATCATTTGAAGATGAAACATTCTGAAAAACCACAAAATACTTTCCCCTGTCCTATTTGTAACAAGATGTTTAAGAGGAAATCTAATTTAGAAGGACATCTGAAAATGTGTCGTCCAAATCAATCTGAAGAAATAAAGGAAACAAAAATAGAAGAAGAAAGTAGTAAATAATGAAATGATCAGATTTTTATTTGTTTATTTATTATTTTTTTTGATTAAAGATCTGTTAGAAGTTTAATGCAAGCATCATTAATTAGTTTATATTATAATGTATACAGTTAGAAATTATAAGTATTTTTGATTGTTAAAATAAGTATTTTTTATATAAAACCTAAAAGCCAATAAGCAGTTAAAATGTAAACTGTGAATGTTGTTTTATAATCATAGGTTATTGTTAAACATAGTTTTAAAAATTACATTTGTACTTGAATATAACCAGTTAAAAATGTAACTCCTGTTAGCTTAACTGAATTCACAGCATTCTTTGTACAACTCTCCTTCAGAGTAATAAAACTATATAAATTTATTCACTTGGTTAAATAGCGACAAATTGTGGGCCCCACATCAATTATTAACTCTGGGCTCCTAAATAATGTTAGCATTTTCTAAAATAAAGATACTAGATACACTAGAATATGCGAAATGAAGGATACTTTCCAAGTCAAGGGTGCAAATAAGAAATCATCCTTGCATTTCACCTTATCCTGTGCCTTGGCTTTATTACATTGGCCATTCACGTTAAATACTGTACAAATACATTTATCAACTCTCTCTTGTCAAATAATATTCACGTTAATGACTTTCTCCTGCAGTACCATTCCACAAAACTGCATTTAATGAAGTTTTCCACTTTACAAAAGTGTTGTGGGCCGTTTTATGGGCATAGTGAGTTTTTCCTACAAGAGATTGGCGTTAAATGTAGAACTTGGTATCCAGTCATTTTAGCTATAATTGGTACTTAATGAGTTTTACCTGTCAACCGACGAGATAGTTCAAGTGGTTTGTATTTTTGTTCTATTTATCTTGTCCGGAGGTCATCGTCTTATTTGATTTTTGTGAACGTTTTTAAATTAGCTGAATCTGCTTAAAATTATCTACGGACTATAGATAGTAAAGTAGGCGTTTGTATAAGTTTATAAAAGTACGTTTTTAAAATATTAAAATTTTTATTCAGTGTAGCTGTGAAAAAGGGCGCCCTTGGGTACCACTCCCCCGCCTTCGCGGAATTAGCGATATGCACTAATTTCTCAAAACATGTAAAATTTAAATGTTTGTTATATAACTCAGGAATTTTCAGGAGCACGTGACAACACCGTATCGTAACAACAAATCGAGGTGCATCTGACCCACGGATCTGACCATAGACCTTTTATATTTGTCATATGACATTTTAGTTTGACATTACTCATTCTGACATTAGAAATTAGGTTATGTAGTCTGGAAGGTCTTAAATAAATAAAAGAGAAGTCTGGCAACGCCTAATTGTCTCAATAAATTTTTTAATACAAACTATTTTCAACTACATTAAAACGTAACAATTGAAAGATTACACCATTTTTAACATAATGGTTACTTTATCAAGTGTTTCAAATGTGGTTCATTTATGAGTTGAAAGTACCCTAATCGATGATAGACTGCATCTACCACAGTTCTCCATGATTGTTTTATTTATTTAAGACCTAGACTAAATAAAATCATAAGTGTTACATATGGTTGAACTCGTATTGAATAGGAGATTCCAATAATGACTTAATATACAGGGTGATGAATTTGAAAAACCAAAGGGGTTAATAATATAAGAAAAACGGCAAATCTGGCAACATTGCAAATATCAAATCTGAAATCTCCGTATCCCAAAATAGGTGTAACCCAAATTTTGTACAATTAGGACTAACAATTTACGAGATAATTGGCCGTTTCCAGACTTTTGGACCACTCCGTATACATAAAAATGAATCCCTATTTCCCTTGGTCATGGCATCACGCGTGAATAACTGGACCGATTTCGCTAATTCTTTTTTTGTTGTGTTTGTTATTGTCAGGAAAAGGTTATTATGAAAGAAAAAATTAAGAAAATTGCGCGGAAAATTAGAAAATTTAGGAATATATATAAAAATGAATCCCTTGGTCACGGCATCACGCGTGAACGGCTGGACCGGTTTCGGCAATTCTTTTTTTGTTGTGTTTGTTATTGTCAGGAGAAGGTTCTTATGAAAGAAAAAATTAAGAAAATTGCGCGGAAAATAAGAAAATTTAAGAATATATATAGAAATGAATCCCTATTTCCCTTGGTCACGGCATCACGCGTGAACGGCTGGACCGATTTCGCTAATTCTTTTTTTGTTGTGTTTGTTATTGTCAGCAGAAGGTTATTATGAAAGAAAAAATTAAGAAAATTGCGCGGAAAATTAGAAAATTTAAGAATATGTATAAAAATGAATCCCTATTTCCCTTGGTCACGGCATCACGCGTGAACGGCTGGACCGATTTCGCTAATTCTTTTTTTGTTGTGTTTGTTATTGTCAGGAGAAGGTTATTATGAAAGAAAAAATTAAGAAAATTGCGCGGAAAATTAGAAAATTTAAGAATATGTATAAAAATGAATCCCTATTTCCCTTGGTCACGGCATCACGCGTGAACGACTGGACCGATTTCGCTAATTCTTTTTTGTTGTTGTGTTTGTTATTGTCAGGAGAAGGTTCTTATGAAAGAAAAATTAAGAAAATTGCGCGGAAACTTAGAAAATTTAAGAATACTTAACCATAACCACCATATTAAATTATTTCTAATGTAACCATAGCGCTTTTACAATTCAAAGTTTTTTGATGTAACCTTATGGCGTTTGACATAACATTGACAGAATACGTGCTGCAAATATCGTCAAAGATGAATATCGTTTAAAAACAGATGCTTCGATCGGAGTTATTATATTGATAAAATACATATAAAATAATTAATTATTTTTTTAACAAAAACTGAATTTCTTATTGCACATCACCGTTAGTAGTTCAAAGCTATCACACCTAATATTAGAATAATAAACACTTTGTTTCTGAAATATTTTTTTAGTTAATTATACCAATTCGAAATCAATATTCATGGTTAAGATAGGACAACGTCTGTCGGGTCCGCTAGTATTGATATAAATTTATGTACTCAATAGAGTAGCGACAAATTGTGGGCCCCACCTCAAGTATTGACTATGGACCTAAATAATATTTAGCATTTTCTGAAATAAAGATTACTATTTATATTAATTAAGCTCATGTCAACAAAAATAAAATTGACTAAAATTAAATCTTAATTTTTAATTATGTAGGTGTTTGTATAAATGTATGAAAAGTTTACATTTGTTCAATTTTTGGTTCACTGCAGCTGTGAAGAAAGGGCGCTGCGGCATTTCTTCGCGGAACTAGCGATGCTCTATTTCTCAAAACATTCAAATTTTTGTTTGTCCATTTTTTATTTTTATAACTCAGGAATTTTCGGGAGCATGTGACAACACCGCGCCGTCACAGGCGCATCCGCCATTTTAGTTTAGTTTGACTTGACATTCGACAGTACTTTTAGGCAACAAGTGCAATGTTTATTAAACGATTTTAGCGGTTATTATAAGCAATGAATTGAATAAAATTGTATAGGATCGACAAACGATCGTTAAACAAAATAACATTAGCCATTATATAACAAACCATGTCGGCCCCCAGACGTAGCCAACGAAACAAAAGCAAACCGGACATCCCTAATACAAGCAAAGCCAAGAAGAAAAATCCTGTGAAGTTAAAGCACTCTCAGAAAAAAATTGCCAAATCTAACGACATACAAAAAACTGTTAATTTAAATGAACATTCCGTAACACCTATTCACATAAAACGTTTCGTGTGTAAGATATGTAAAAAACGATTTGATAGAAAATTTTTGTTCAAGAAACACATGTTCTTGCATTCAAGGCGAAATTTAAATAGTGCCAGAAGGACGAAATTGCGAAAGGAATCGTTAAAAACTATAGAAAATATCCTGTCAAAGTTTGAAGTCGAAGCTGTTTCAGTTAAAGACATACCAGAAATTGTTTCACTTAAAGACATAGCAGAAACTATTTTAGGTGATGAACCAGATACTTATTTTGTTAATGACGAACCAGAAATTGTTTCAGTTAAAGACATACCAGAAATTGTTTCAGTTAATGATGTTTCAGAAACTATTTTAGTTAATGACGAATCAGAAACTATATTGATTAATGATGAACCAGAAACTATTTTAGTTAAAGATGAACCAGAAATTGTTTCAGTTAAAGACATATCAGAACTTGTTTCAGTTAAAAATGAACCTGAAACCATTTTTGTTGGAGACGAACCAGAAGGTTCTGATACAAAAAATGAGAAATCACCAGAAATTAAAGTGAAGCTTACAAAGAGTGGTGAGTTTGTTCATATTTAAAATAGTGCAATTTTTACAATACAATAAAACATTTTTAGGGAAACGCCCATATAAATGTACAAAATGCCTTAAAGGTTTTGAGACAGAAAAGGCTTTTGAGGCACATGCTCCATGCAAAGGCAAACTGCCAGGAAAAAAAAGATCTTGTGAATATTGTTTAAAAGTATTTTTTAAAGCCTCCTCTTTAAAGCGTCACTACCTTGTCCATTCTGAAGAAAAAACTGCAAAATGCGCCATTTGTAATAAAAGCTTTAAGCACTCCTACAATTTGACTAAGCATATGTTGTCACATTTGAATATAAAGCCTTTCGAATGTGAAGTATGCACCAAAAAATTTTCCATCAAAGACGCATATAAGCGACATATGTTAATTCATTCCATTCAAAAACCTTTTGAGTGCATGATTTGTAAAAAAGGTTTTATTAGACAAGAACAATTACAGCAACATTTGAAGATGAATCATTCTGAAAAATCGCAAAATCCATTCACCTGCCTAATTTGTAACAAGATGTATAAGAGGAAATGTAATTTGGTCCAACACCTGAAAGTTTGCCGTCCGGATCAATCTGAAGAAATAGAAGAAAACAATACAGAGGATTTTTGAGATAATTTAAAAATATATTTTTTTTTTTTGATAAAGTTAAAAATTACAGAATTAGAAATTGTATACAGGCATTTTTAATGAGTTTATATTGTGTATATAGTTGTAAATTATAGGTATTTTAAATTTTTTTTATATACAACCTTCAGAATAATAAAGCACTATTGATATAAATGTATGCACTTATTGGTGTAGTAACAAATTGTGGGCCCTACCACAAGTATTGACTATTAAATATATTTTTCTCTTAAAAAAAAATAATCTCATGTCATAACAAAATGGACTAAAACAATGCATCAAAGTTTAATCCTAATTCTGTAGAAAACAATTCATACATTTAATTTAAGCATTTAGAAGAAAATTGTGATTAAAAAAGTATTATTCAAATCAAATCAGTTTTTTCACCATAAAAGGACATTCACATAGTGAAAGCCACTTATCAGGCTAGTCAAGTTAAAACAATATTAAAATTTTTAAAAACAATTATCTTAAAAAATAGTAAACATTTAATTTTATACATAAGACTACTTATATTATTAAAAGAAACATACAATAATTTAAAATTTAGAAAATGACCTGGTTAACAGAGTATGATACCTTCATTGTGTAGTTAAAAAATTGAGGAACTCATCAATATTGTTTAATGTGTTATTGTAGAGGAAGTTAATAATTTTATTCTTTATGCTGTTGCTTGGGCCGGCTAAGTCAATAAGCGTTTTTATTTTATTGATACATTTAACCCCTATATAATTGGGAGAATTCTAACTCTCAGTCTTAAGAAGGGTGTGTGAATGTCATTATTATGGCATTATACTGAAAAATTAAATTTAGCACATTTGCTCCAATTTTTCCATTACGGTCCATTTTAGAAAAATCATGTACAAACAAAAATTATAGAGATCAGTATCGCAAACAACTTTTAGTTTAACAATTTTCTTAAAAATCAGAATTTTGCACATTTTGTCAAATTTCTCGAATACGGGCCATTTCAGGAAAATTTGACATAAAACAAAAATTATAGATAATAATATTAGAAGTAACTTTTATTTGAACAATTTTCTTCTCCAAACATAATTAACAGATATTATATTCCATAAAATATAAAAACGGCCATAAAGTACCCCTCCCCCCGATGTTCCGACTTTGCCCAAAATCTAATCATTTTACCTCAGGCAGAAATAAAACTTCAGTTTAAAATTTAATAATTTAGAGATATTATGTATAGGATAAAAATTATAGAGAATTATATTACAAACAATTTTTATAAAAAAAATATGTTTTTTACATTTTGTCAAATTTCTCGAATACGGACCATTTTAGGAAATTTTTGTATGGAACAAAAAATATTGATAATAATATTGTAAGTAACTTTTATTTCAAGAATTTTCTCCAAACGTAAATAACAGATATATTCCATAAAATATAAAAATAACCACCTATAAAGTACCCCTCCAGATGTCCCGACTCTGCCCAAAATCTAATCAGTTCATTAGACGCCGGAATAAAGCTTAAGTTTAAAATTTGGTGTTTTTCTTTGTATCGGTTCATGAGTTATGGTGGATACAGACACACACACAGACATCATCCCGAAAATAGTCAAAACGGATTCAGGGGACCCCAAAACGTAAAATTCCGTCGAAAACTGGAGGTCGAAAAATCATGATTCCTATACTTTCCTTATATCTGTATACAGATAGGAAAGTAAAAAGGTTGAGTACAGCTGCTCTAAACGAAGTGTCGTAGAAAGATTGCTGAAAATATTTGCTGTAAACTTTCTACCGATTTAAATAATTCCTTTTCAAAGTTATAACTTTGGGGCATAATTATCTAAATTTATTTAATAACAATTTTATTCATTTAACAGAATTATATTTTGTAATATACAGAAAATTCCAATGAAAACTATCCATTCTAAATATTTTTAATGGCGAGGCTTTTATAAATAAATACAAAAATAAGTCAAAAATCAGATAAAGTGGAACGTCTTTTTGCTCATGATACTTTTAAACCTTCATCCACTGCTCTCTCCTAGTAAACTTCTCTTGTTTTTTTTTTCCTTCAATGGAACACCTTCCATATTATTGCCCTTTTCGATACTCTATTAAGTGATCCTCAAAATGTATACCCGAGGTGTAAAAAACTTATTTTAAATTTTTCGTTCATTGCCACTGTGAGGAAGATGCCCCTACCCCTTAGCGATGCACTATTTCTCAAAACATAAAATTTTTGTTTGCGTAATTTTTGTTGTATAACTCAGGAATTTTCGGGAGCACGTGACAACACTGCACCGTAACAAACAACAAATCGAGGCGCATCCGCCATTTTAGTTTGACAGTAGAGATTTCGTTTAGCAACAAGTCCAATGTTTATTCAACGATTTTAGCAATGTTATTGTAAACAATGAATTGAATAAAATTATATACGATCGAGAAAAGTTCGTTAAACAAAATAACATTAGTCTGTATTTATATAACGAGCCATGTCGGCTCTCAGACGTAGCCAAAGAACCAAAAGCAAACCAGACGTTCTGATCCTGAATACAAGCAATGTCCAAAAGAAAAATACTGTGAAGTTGAAGTACATTGAGAAAAAAAATACCAAATTTAACAAACGAGACTTATCAAATACTGATAATTTAGAAGAACATTTCTTAACACCTTTTTACATAAAACCTTTCGGGTGTAAGATATGCAAAAAACGATTTGATAGTAACGATTCGTTCAAGAAACACATTTTGTTCCATTTCAGGCGAAATTTAAATAGTCCAAAACTAAGGAAATTGCGAAAGGAATCGTTGAAACATATAGAAAATATAAGAGTAAAGAAAGCTGTTTCAGTTAAAGACATACCAGAAATTGTTTCAGTTAAAGATGAACCAAAAAGTGTTTCAGTTAAAGACATACCAGAAACTATTTTAGTTAAAGACATTCCGAAAACTATTTTGGTTAATGACGAGCCAGAAACTATTTTAGTTAAAGATGAACCAAAAATTGTTTCAGTTAAAGATGAACCAAAAATGCTTTCAGTTAAAGATGAACCAAAAATTGTTTCAGTTAAAGACCTGCCAGAAACTAGTTTAATTAAAGACGAAATTGTTTTAGTTAAAGACATACCGAAAACTATTTTAGTTAATGACGAGCCAGAAACTATTTTAGTTAAAGACAAGCCAGCAATTGTTTCAGTTAAAGACATACCAGAAACTGTTTCAGTAAAAAATAAACCAAAAGTTCCTGATACGAATGCAAAAAAGTTTGATCATGTTATTAAGAGAGTAAATAATGTAGTAATGATTACTATACCGGAATACCCTGATATAAAAATCAAAATGGTTAAGGGTGGTGAGTTTTTTTTTGTTAGAAAACTAGATATATTTTTTAAAAGAACATTGTTATTTTTATTAATAAATGTCTTTATTTATCAAATGTAGAGCTTTCTCTTTGACTCTTAACCTAGATTTACATAACCTATACAGCACAAACACATTTCAGAAATATTTCAAAAATATTACATTACAACATATTATGTAATGTATTAATATTACGAAACATCCCAGAAACATTTCTGAAATGTGCCTGAAACGTAAAAATGTCCTCTAAATATAATATTTCACAGTAATATTGCTGAAATAAAATTTTGAAATCTTTTAGAAATATTAAATAGTAATATTTCAGAAATCTATTCTAGCTTTTTTTTTTCTAAAATATTAGACTAAAAAAGACATTTATAAATATACATGTTTATTTAAAATACACAAAACTCAAAACATTGATTCTTAAACAAATAAATAATTTTTAAACATTATTTGATAAAATATAAAGGCAAATCGCTTAATTTCCACAATTTCCTTTAAATGCACTTATCTGAAACAAATAGTTTTTTTTTTAATAAATGTTCCAAATAAACATTTATGATTATTACAATCTGATCATTAAGATCAATTAGCAATTTTATTCTAATCTAACTTATCAAGGGACGAAAAACTTTATAAACTAATATTCTACTCACTAGTATACCTTAGAGTCTAATTATTTTGTTACGCTACCGTTAACGTATAACACTTAACCGCACTATACTCTGCTTTAACATCACTGAACTAACTCAAAAGGCTTGGTTCTCTCGAATCTTCTTATTAGATTGGTCTTGTTGAACTGGATAATCTCAAGGTTTCCATGTTGGAGCAGTCTTTGTTGGTGACTACTGGCAAATTTTTGTATTGTATTTTCAACAGTCTCCACTTTAAGGTCCCTACGAAGATTAGTATTGTGGAAGTACCAGGGTGCATCGACTATGTTCTTTGATACTTTATTCTGGAAATGTTAAATAACTTGGATGGTACTTTTAGTGGCACATCCCCAAAGCTGGCAAATTGCTTCATTTCCACGAATTCCTTTAAATGCACTAATCTGAAACAAATTATAGATAATTAAAAAGGATTTATACAAATTACTCATGCCTAAATAAAACATGAAGCTCCGCCTTTCAATCGGCTGTAGAACTAATAAATAAAACTGGTGTAGGACTCACCTTAATTTCTAATAAAAACATATTCTGCTACCCATATAACAGCACAACATATAAATAATGAAAAAAAAAAAAGGAAATGGTAAAAACCGACATCTCCAATCTATAATTATTTAGAATATAGGGTTGTCTCTGGCTGGTAGGCTGGACCATGGTGGAAAAATACTTACATGATGGGCTGAACAAGAAATAAAATAACTACATATCCCATCCAACTAAAGTATTTCAGAAATAGTTCAGAAACGTGTGCTTGAAATGTTGTTTGAAACATTTGAAATATTTCTGAAACTCTTCTGAAATAATGTATGCTGTATGGGAAATAAGTACAAAATTTAATAAACACTGAATAAATTAATAAATGGTATTTCAGATATTAACAAAATATCAGCAATCAAAGGACAGGTTGACTCATAGAAATATAATGTGGTTTAACTTACAACCTTGTAATAATGTAGTTTTGGTCTTTATTTTCCATTCTAAATAGCACAATACATGAGTAAATAACCCACTTTCTTGAAAACTAAATAGCTTTTACAGCAAGTCGTTGAGAATAAATTAATATGCTGTTTGTCAATAAAGTTATGCATATGCAACTAACATTACAAGAAAGTAATATTGGTTGCCTAGATGTTAAAAATCTTTTAGTAAAACACATTTTTATAAATAATCTAGTCAAAATTAGAAAAAATACTGTATATAATATGTTACAAAATGCCTTTTTATGTAACTCGTTCATGTTGCTGGACCTGGCTCTGCTCGTCCCGAAAATAAGGCATTTTGAAACTGTTTACATAAATAGTTATTAATGAATTCAAAGATACACTTTATGTATATCTTTCATCTAAGACATATTAATACTATGCAGAATTTATGACTTATATTCAGTAATCCATAATTGGTATCTTTTCATTATGTACAGATTAGGCAAAAAATATATGAGCCATAGGATATAGGCACTGCGAGTGATCATCTATCTCTATACCTTGTGTACAATGCCTACCACCTCTTCTGTGAGCTGTGCGAGCTCAAAGAAAGTTCCAATTTAGTAATGCCTGAACTGTTGTGGAATATTGTTCTCTCTAATTAAATGAAGATATTATTTTTTCGTGATCCCCCGGATACTAGAAATAATTATTTGCAAGTGAAAAACAATGACAGGATTTCGAATTAAATCTAAATATTTTTTGACTGTTAGGTACGTTTACATCTGACATTTATTGCATGAGATTTGTCTGACAGTTGTTTAGTCCGGTGTACACACTCAAACATATATCCCCGAGATAAATTTTTGTGTGTTTACACTGGACTAAACAACTGTCAGTTATAAATCTCATTCAATAAATGTCAAATGTAAACGTACCTTTAAGTTTACCACAAATGAAAAAGGGCTTTTAATGTGGCCCCTTAAAATATCACTACATACATTTAATTTCTAGGGATACTGTCTTTATGTCGGAATACTTAAATGTTTATTTTCCCGAGAACAATGTTTCACTACTGATGGATTATGTTGTGACATGAAAAAGTTGACTCGTCAGTAAGTAAAATGTATTTTAAAGATTTTATTTTTTGATTCTGGCGATTCGGTATAATTTTGCAGAACTCCATTTGTCTGAAATTATTCTATAAAAATTAAAAAAAAAGTAACAAAATTATTTCTACACTTACTGTGACATATTTATTGTATATGTTCACCGATTCGATTAAGTATGATGCTCTCTGACGTATTAGGAATATTGGCCTGCAATTAACAGAGATTGGCATACCTACGCCGTATGGCTAGTATACTTTTTTCCTAATCTGTATTTATCCTTTTGCATACTATTTTTAATTTTAAACTATTTAATTTTTATTTTAATTATAACCTCTCTTAATTTTAAAATTGTATATGTTTCAGAGCTGAATATATATTAAATGTCTATTGTTTGCAGGTAAACACCCTTATATGTGTAACAAATGCGACTTGGGCTTCTGGACAAAGAAGGCGTATGAAGCACACGCCCTCGTGCACGTGCTTAGAAAAGTTAAGCAACCTGAAAAGAAGTTCCGCTGTGACGTCTGTGCAAAACAATTCAGCAAGCTCTGTGACGTAGAACGTCACATTCGTGTTCACACCGGAGAAAAAACCTGCATATGCAACATCTGCAACAAAGGCTTCGTCCAGGCTCACAATCTAAGCAAACATTTATTGACCCATTTACACATAAAGCCTTTCATTTGTGAGATATGCAACAAGCAATTTGGAAGAAATGACGTTTTAAGGCGACATCTGTTGATCCACTCCGTTCAGAAACCTATTAATTGCTCGGTTTGCAATAAGGGATTTATTAGGCAATCGCAGCTGCTGCAACACATGAGGAAAAAGCATCCTGGTCACTCGGTCGAAGGGTTGACTGAAATGAGCGACGATGAAGACAGTATCAAGAATGAAGATAGCATGAGTGATGATGGCAAAACTTCAAAGGTAAAGTCGTAAAAGCGTTAAAAAGTACTGTTTTTTTTTGTGTATTATATTGTGTGCAAAATTTACTTTTTAATGCAGAAAATGTATTATTTCTCAAGGTAGATAGATTGTTTTCAAGTAAAATGATTGCAAGTTGCTTGCAAGATTTTTTTATTGGTGCTCTCCTCCGGTGTACACTTTTTACAGAATCGTGCCTTAGACTCTATTATTGTTCTTTGTATTTTATAGAAATCGATGTTTTAGTTGACTTTATTAATGTATTTGTTATAAAGGGATATGATTGAGATTATATTGTTAGTGGTTTAATGTAAATTTACTTAGTTATGAATGGGTTTTGTATTCAAATTATTTGAGAATGTTTTTTTTTTAATTTTATTTGCTCATAAGAATGGATTAAAAAAAATACTAAAAGGGACTTAATTTGGTAAATATTGTCGTTTACTTTGCTTTTGAAGGCTGAAATTATTTAAATACATAGTAGAAACAAAATGTACAGACCAATATATTTAGCGTATTTAGATTTTTTAAATTCCATTTATATGATGAAGTGACTAATTCAAAATTTTTAAAAATGTTTTGCTTTTACCAAATAACCAATCATTTTGCTTGAGTTTCTTTTGAAAATGTTAGCAATATAACTTCTGAACGGTACTTACCTAAAACATTATACTTGTATATTAAATTAGATTACTAAAATGTTTATTTATAATTTTTTGTGATGTATTATTCTCTACTGTGTAGATCGTTTTATTCGTTTTGACAATTTATTGTATTTTTTTCAGAAAATACATGCTTTTGATTTGTAAACTCTTTGTACATACAGTGTCGACCACTGAACGTATTCCAATACGCTTTGCACAAGTGCATGTGAAAACTACAAGAAAGCATTAGAGTGAGCAGGAAACCAATATCAGTGTTGCCAGTTTATATGGCCCAACAGCATTGTAATGTTGGTTGAGCCGTATAAACTGGAATTGCTTGTATTATTCGTTTCCTACTCGATCTAAAGCTTATTCTCTGTAGTTTTTACACGTATTTGTGCAAAACGTATTGGAAAGCATTCTATAGCCGATACTGTGTATCAATATACAGGGTGTCTCTAAAATCCTACATTCACTTTGTATTAGAGTAAGTTTAGTTAAATCGGTTTATTTAGAGACATCCATTATATTCTAATAAAATTATTAAACAATATTCAGTTTCATGATATTCCAAAAACGTTTTACTTTATTTTTGACCAAAAAATATTCCTAAAAAAAATTGTAACTAATGTGCCTAAAGTAAATCGCCTGTGATACACAGTATCTTCCTAACGAAACCAAACGAAACTGAATTCTTTTTCGCTACTCGTAGCCATTTTTTTTTTTTCATATAACTTTATGAACTAGTTGAAGTTTTCTGAATGTTTTATGTATTTTATAAGGAATTAAAATAATTACTGCGAAATTTTATATCAAAGACCATTTTGAAACCTTTGTATATATTATATGACTGTTAAACCTATTTGCTGATGAATAGATATATAATGAGTAAATTAATCCTATTATTATCTACGCTATTTTAAACAACTGGAAAATAGCCGACCATACAGTAAATTCACTTTAAGTGAGCACACACGATGTGAATGGCTTGGCGTAAATTAAAAGTTATTTAAATCAGCGTAGCTCGGTTTGAACTTTATATTATACAATAGATTAATTTATAACCATTTATTAACCAGTATTGAATACTGTTTTAGAGTTACAAAATTTTGTTTCAAACTTTTTACAAGAAAAAATATATTTCATTTTTATTTATATTGGACGTTAAGTCACATTGTTAATGTAGCGTGGAAACTATTTTTTTTGTAGTGTAAATAAAACATGCAAACATTTATTTATTTTTTATTAAATTATTCTAACAACTAAAATAATAAATTTTTTTCATACAAATCACATCTAAATGAACGAATCGGATTGTTGAAAACGATTTGTTCATTTCGACTGGCCAAACTTAAAAGTTTAAAATTTATAAATACTTAGAATATGTACACAGGGAATAAAAACTATACCAATTTGTTTGTTTGTTTATATAATCACATAAAAAAGGATTGCGAACAATTAATTTTAAAATAAATATAAACAAATTGAATCAATGTTATATCGGATGACAGTAGTAAGAATGAAAAATAAAATATGCTAGATACATATTTCACAATTTAAGTAAAATGTACAATTTTTTTTTAAATCGAATTAAAATGAGAAAGTGTCGAATCAAATAAGAGATTAGACAGCAGTTGTCAAATTCAAATAAGGAAGAGTTGCATGCTAATTTCAAAAACTACTGCCGCAAATATATTTTTGGATAGTATATCCTCCGTTTTAAAACGTCTTTTACAACAAAAGAAAATGATGCTTTTGAATTAGCGTAGGCAGCATAAATTAGTGAACATGAGGTGCAGTGAAAAAAATTACTGGTATAACGCTTTATAGGCAAAGATATGCACCTGTGAAAAATTAGAATAAATTGAAAATTGGTATGTTGGTCAACTTTAGACCCAGTGTAAATAAAACAATTGAGATCTGTTGTAACCAATAATGAAAAAATTTAAACTTCTTGTGAAAACGAAGAAAAAACTGCTACAGAGCAATAACCAATATATTTTAACTTTTAATAAAAAAATAAGAAATTGTAATAAAATTTCTTGTGTTGATGTGATTAAATATTATACAGAAAACATAATTATAATGTCATTCATAAAGATAAAATAAAATTAGCTTCTCTGGAAGAACAATGGTACAAGTGAATATTAAGATAGGCAGAAATCACAAATAAAAAAAAATGTAAATGGTTAAAAAGCTGCCTTTAGAACATTGACTCGTCTGGCTTCCAGCAACCACTAGAAGTACTAACATTACGTAGTTCTTCCACTGGATAAATACAATTTTAAATATTAATTCGGTCAAAATTTATTCTTCCGGAGAAGCGAAATGTTGCAAATGAGACAATGCAAGTTAGAGAAAATCTAGCACCACCTAGTGTATTAACAGATATAGACATTCTGTTGAAATTTCTTCACCTATTTCCATTCAACATACCCATATAATTGCTGCTCTAACAACAGAACATATAGAAACTCCACGTGCATCTGGAATAATTGATAGTTCAGTGAAAACAACGAAATTCTTCAGCATTAAATATACATTCTAGTTTTCAACCTGTTTGTCAAATTTTGTACTGTATGATAACTATCTTGGACATACTTGTCAATGAATTTATTAACTATAGCAAATATTCGGCAAGAACACAAAAAAATACTCTTGCGTTTCATTTTATATAAATAGAAGACAAATCTAAGTGACCGATGAAGGAGATCATCAGCCCTTTCAATTACTCCCGGGTTATCTGGCTTAAATTTTTTTAAATTCTAATTGATAATACTGCACAAATGGCTAATCTGAAATGAAAAATTCTTGTCAAGTCTTCATCTAGAAAATATTTGTGACAAAAAACCCCGCGGGAGTACTACGCCAGTATTTATAGTATACCCTCTACTTCCTGAAAAGAGGCCCGCCTTGTAATTGAAAACCGCTTTCATTTTGCAAGTGCTATGGGCCGAACGGATGGTGGTATAGACATTTTTCAAAAACCGTTATTTAGTGCTGATAAGCTATTACTTGTTGTAAATTTGCGCAAATTGTCCTTCGCTTGGTACCATGCTAACGACTGACCGTGCCATCTATTGATACATTTATTATTCTTTTTGGGTTCATGCATATAACATATATGAGTTAATTTGTTACTTACAAAAGCTGCAAGATTATATTTTTATGAAGTACTTGAACAATTAAAAGATTGTATTTTTAATAAGTTACTTCTTGGACAATGGTTTTGAATTAGTTTTGTTAGTTTATCTTTGCATTTATTGGGACAATTGTGTAAATTTATAAAGGAACATAAGTTCGAGGTTTGTCTTTTATTTCTTTCATCATTTATTGGGTTTGTGGAGAAATAAGAACATACTTTGGCCATTATAGGGACCCAGTTAGCGCCCATGGATTTGTCAACTATTTTCGGATTTTTTATATGCTATCCACCCCCTAGCTATCGTCTGACCGACGTCGAAGACCCAAAGGTTAACATCGGAGCAGCCGAAACTTATGTAACCGCAGTAGACATTTTATTAGTAGTTATTTTATTTTTAGGCAGTTTTTACTCAGGAAGTTGCTAAGTACATTTGGTACATTTTTGATGGATTGTCGGGAAGCATTTGATAAAATTTACAAACATCAGTCGATTTCTCGATACTCTCTAGGGCTTTTTTGTCACAAATATCCTCTAGATGAAGACTATACCAGAATTTTTTATTCATACTAGCCGTCTGTGCAGTGTTCCCTAAAACATCGTCAGGATATTGAATTGGACCAACATACCAATTAGTAGCTTTATTCTAATTGTTCGTAGGTAACCCCTGTCCTAAACGCTTCATTGCTTGGGCTATTAGCATTTGTATAAATTCGTTTAAAAAATGTTTATTTCAAAATTATCAAAACATTAAAATGAATTTTAAATTTGATATTATCTGGCTATGCTTTCTATTTAAATTTCGATAATTTTAAAATAAATACGCTATCACTTTCGAAAAAAAGTGTTTATGACAAAAGACATCTTTTTTTTGAAAACAAAAAAAATCACCTCACAGAAATAAACGAAAAACGCATCTATATACAAAACGGTTACAACATCAGTCAATTTTAACAGTAGAATATATTTTTCTCACAAATACGCTCGTGCCTATGTAACCCACGGTTCCGCACATTATGCCCAGGGCTCCGCTGAACAAAGCCATGTATCCAAAGTAGAACGTCGTCTGGAACAGTCCATACATTCTGTAAAACATAAGATAAATAGTCAAAAAAGGAAAAGTCAGCTGTCATAGTGAATTAACAGTTTACAATAATTACATAATTCAAAATTTTTAGTTCGTTACTTACTTTGTCTTGAAGAAAAAGTAATAGATGGCGTATATGTAGACGTAGGTAGATGTCGAACCGGCAGCTAAAAATGATGTCCACTGCCAACGATAGTCCTCAGCGTTCAGTAAAAAGTAAGTACATACAATTGTGACGCAAACGGTTACAATCATCAATATAATAAAAACTAGAAGCATGAAACCATAAACGTAGTAGATTTTGTAAGCCCAAAATGAAGTGAAGATAAAATACCTAGAAAAATATTTCAAATTTATATCAAAAACCAATTCAAAATTATAGCATTTAAATTCGACTTACATTTCAATGAAAATGCTGGCGAAAGGCAGCACTCCACCCAACAGAATTATAACTCCAGGTTCCATGAACCACTTCTTTTCGGGAATCGGTCTGGGTACGGCGTTAATGCGACAAGGATAATCAGGTTGGCCAGCCAAATTTCTTCCCAATACTGTACCAACCAGCGTCAGTGGAAGTATGACGAAAAGGCAAATGCAAGTCACTGCAACCTGAAAAACAGAAGGTCAAATGTGTTGAAGATGAATGATATTTTTCAAACTTACCATGGTGCCGAAAGGTATGGCTCTAGATGCGTGGTAATAGATGGCGATAAAGTTGATGAAGAAAGCAGTTCCACAGACGAAAGCCGGTAACATGAAGGCGGATACGATCATTTGTCTGATCCATATTTTGCCACCCATTCTAGCATATAAGGAGCCTCCAAAGTATCCATTTATTGGAGAAGTCACGGCATAAACAAAGATCGAGGTGGACAGAAGTGAGCCTCTCCTATTAAATAAATACATATTAGTTAAAAACAAATCTTGGATTTTTAGCCATAATCTTGAACTGAGCAATTGTTTTATAAACAAACAAAAGAAAATGATAGATAAAAAATGAAAGAAAATTGTAAAAATTGAAAAAAAATCTGCTCTGTAGAGCTCAAATTCGCGACCTCTGGATCACCGTTCCAACGTCCTAACTCCTACACCAACAGTCGTTAATTTGAGTATAGATTCGATCCTAACTCAGTTTATCAGAATCTTTTTCAATTCTTTAACACTTCAATAGTCACCTATGTGGCATCGTCAAAGGTACATCACAAGCATTAAAATCCTCGTTTCGTCCAGTGTAGTTGAATAAACTGAAGTTTATCAAAAAAATTTTGTCGGTTTAAATTGCGGAAAAAAATAAAAGAAATCGGGGGGCGATAACAAACCAAATAAAATTTGAAAATTAAAAAAAATCTCCTCAGGGCGGAACTCGATCTTTTAGGATATAATAGTCCCATCTGACTGCAAAAAGTGTCATGTCATATTTTTTGCTTGCTCTTTGTAGTTGGGTACAGGGAAGGGGTGTGAACAACATGTACTATGTCCCGGTGGTGAGAGCAATCATATGACCTGTGAAATTTAAAATAAAGTTGCTTATCCCTGGAATTTTTCCTTTTTTGATGACAATGAGATATATTCTTCTAGATGGCAATAACAATAAAATCCCTTTACAAGCATTTTCTGTCGTTCGGTTTTACTACTTCCAGAGTAGGGATTTCGGCCACATTCTGGATACAGAAAGGGTTGATACGCATTAAAAAAAAATTGGAACCTGGCAAAAAGTGACCTATTTTTTGAAAGAAATGTGTAAAGTTTAATTGATTTATGAATTATTGAACTAATAAATAAAAACTTACTCTGTATACAGTTCTCCTAAGATTGCGAAACATATGACGCTAAAAACAACAGTAGTCAGTTGGTGTCCAGCACCAATAAGGGCAGAAAAGAATAAGGAATGAGATGCTGGTCTGAAAACATCACCATGCACCTGCTTCCAACCATATTCGTCACCAAGGTCACGTTCCTAGAGTAAAAAAAAAAATTTATACAAAACCTAGAACAATTTTCATAAAAAGAATATTACCATATCGTCAATATCTTCATCTTTACTGTATCGAGCATAATCTTTTCTTAGAGTTCTCATTAGAATCATGGATACTAGACCTACTAGGAATATAACCATCATGAAACTGTTGAAAATGCTGAACCAATGGATCTGAAAAAAATTTATGTTACATAAATTATAAAATTCACTATTAATTTGTATATCTAACTAAAATAAGTTATTAATCTAACTGTAGTCATATAAAATATAATTAAATATAGAATAATAATATTAATAACAAATACTTCAATGCCTAAATTATCTACTTAACATCTAAGAAATATTATTTTAGTTTATGTTTGAATACATTAATTGATTCTAATTTCTTTAGATCTTCTTGCAAGTCATTAAATTGCTATAGGCTTTTAAAAAAGATTGAATTTTGAGCATGACTGGTGTTGCTGGTACTAATATAAAAATCATTTCTAAGTCTTGTATTATGGGTGTGAACATGATGGTTATAAATAATTTTATTTTGGAGATAGTCAGGTGCTTGACCTATTTTTATTTTAAATATAAACATTAATGTCTGTTAAAGGAACATGTCTTTAATTGAGAGCCATAGCTCTAATCTGCAACTTTTGGAGACAATTTCTTTCATTTTGATTTAAGATATACAATACTGTTGAGCAGTAACTGAAATACGATTTAATTCCAACCAAAATCATCTTTTGTATATACAAAAAGAAAATAAAGATATTCATTTTAACACATTTTGAGCATATTTAAACTTGAAGAATATGTAAAAAACTTTTAGATACTGCTATATTAATCATAAAACAAAATGGTATTTTTTTTTAATTTCAATTTTTTTTTAATAATATTTACTCCACCAAAAAATACAAGATATATGTCAAAACAATAAGCCTACTAAATAAATTATACAAGTTTTAGACATTTTTTCTTCTTCTAAAAGATAAATATTAAAATTAAATGATAAAAAATATATAAATAAATATGTTATTTTAAGGCTTTACAATAATTGTTGATTACATTAAAACACTTTTTTTCTTTTCAATTCAACTTGAAATTTAATTGGCTCTTTTTCAATTGTACTGTGTTATCTTTATTGTTTGAACATTAATAAAAAGTACCTACCATAGTGTTTTATTTCTTTTTATAGTTTGTATAAAAATTAAACATAGTCATAACTATTAAATCAAAAAATAGAAATTGTAGGTGGAATGTCATCAAAATAATCTCAGTCCAGCCCTGCATGGTTTTAATAACACAGACAATATTAATGAAAGTAAAATCTTAGACAAATAGAGAAAGCTTAGGATATGTAAATTGAAAGTTACAAAAATATTTATTATACGTTTTTTTAATTAGTGACAAATATTGACAACTACAATCATTTACTTATTGTTTACAAAAAATACCCAACATATATTTTTTAACCCTTTTTTTAGAATTTAGCACAAATTATATACACATGTGAGTGGTCCCAAAGGAAATTCTAATTTAGACACTAATATTAATTTCTAATAATTAGAAATATCTTGACCCTTATTTAAATCATTCCTGTGACCCCTAGTTTATAAGTATTTGTTCCTAAAACTGCTGAGCCACCATTCTTGTGGAATTAACACTTACCCTGTGTTGGAAGAAATTATGATCCAAATATTTATCAAATCTATCCTCAAATTTGACATCGCTCCTTGTCCATATAACTTCATAAGTAAAAGTCAACTTTGTAACTGGTGTTAGTTCCACTTTTTCTTCAGAGGTCAAATTGACATCAATTATTTGTTTTCCATTGTAGCCAATTTCAAACTTCTTGTGAGTCCAAATGTAATATTTGTTATCTTTAACTTCACCCACCACACCCCATATGGGGAGATCGTCGATGTACATTTGATACCAATAGTGATTTTTGACAGCATATACAAAAGCTTTGTATTTTTCTTCATCCAATTGGACAGCACAATACTCTCCTCTGGACATCTTCACTAAAATTAAATGTTAATGCCTCTTTCAGTTGTTAGATAAAATGGATACCGCAAGGTGAAAAAAGGTACAAGTTGACAATATCAAGTTTTCAGGACAATCTGCTGAAATTTTGATGATTTCTACTTGACAGGTTACGTATCTCTTTTTTGATTGGTTAGTGTAACATAACATGGAAAATGAAGCTTGCAATAAAAGAGCACAATCATATTTTTACTTCAATTTAACTGACTTGTATAGTTAGATTTTACCAGCATATAGCAAGGATATAAGTTGACTTATATCCTTTCATTCCAACTAACATATTACACATGATAGCAATATTCTTCTTTGAACTATGAGTATAAAAATGTTTGTTTACTCTAGACATGTTAAAAAATGAATAAACTCTTCTCAGGTACTTATATAGCTGTAAACAGTAGCTTTGAAGCTTGCAGAAAAGAATATTATGTCAACACTACTTATGTCAGAATAAAAGGATATAAGTCTACTTATACCATTTTCTATAAACATGAAAGAGAATATTGGTTCTCAAAGTGACTCAATTCCACTAGTACGGTTTCCTTCAGACAGTGAATTGTTCTTCCCCAGTCAACTAGAGATAAGCTTAGTCACGAATATTTATTCGCAGTAGTTACTGTGAATGCCATTTATGATTCACTGTGAATATAAACTGCGAATGACGTCATGATTTTGCCGCCAGTACCGAGTATAATGTTTTAATATGATATATTATGTTATGTATGTATAGTGCTATAACTGCAAACTACGATTCTGTAAGATATTCAACAGATGAATAGACTTGAAGATATGAAAAACTGAAGTTGCAAACACGGTCCTTTACATTTACTTTTTGCTTTTAGGTTCATGTGTTTACAGTTGTTCCCTTATTCACTCAATGGGGGGTTTGTAATCGTGATCGCGCTATTTGCAGTGAATATTTAGCAGTTTGCCATCTTTACAATAAACCCACTTTCTTCAGCTCATTAAATGCCAATATATTATTTAAATAACTTATACTTTTCTGCAAACATATAAAACATTGAACAAAAAATTATTGAATATTGAACACATTTACTTATTATCTATTAAAAAAAACTAGTTCAAGGTAAATAGTGTAATTTTATCAATAATTCAAACCAATGTACCTATAAAAGATACAAATATGTGGAGTACTGTCTACTCTATAAATGATATAACCTGATTGTTAAATTATATAAATGTTGAGAACTCACGCTTAAATTCAATATCAATGCCGCTGAATTCAAGTTCCACTCCCTGTAAAGCTTCACTGAGGGTTTCATGGTAGTGGCTGATTGTTTCTTTGGAACCAACACAGAATGGCAAAGAAAAATAAGCGTAAGTCTCTTGTCTATTGTGGTAGGGCCCTACTGTGTTCATCCACAGTACTACCTCTTCGCCTTCATCGTACTTAAAAAAAAACAAATACGTGGTATTAAAATATCTTTGTTTATCTTTAAAAAATGTTTTAACTCACTATATGATTGTGCTCATCGGATAACGCCCCGATAACCAACGTTAGAAAAATAACTGTGTACAAAACTCGCATTATTAATGATGGTATTATCAAAATTTCTGAAACTTATGCAGCTGGGTTTTTATATTTCCGAAATCACCGGAACATATACATCTTTTACATTCTCTACACGTAGACAGAAAAAATTATGATATCTGCCAGCTGCCGTAATTGTATAAAACAACACGAGGGGGCGCTATGAATGCGTCAATAAAATGACAGGAACGTTCCATATGTATAATGTTTTAATAATAATAATAGGTCTAAGCAAGATGATAATGGTTTTAATTATTTTATATAAAATTCAGTATGATAATAAATAAAATTATTATAGTTTTATTGGAGGTGTTTAAAACAGAAAAACGTTCGTTGATGTGAGTATATATAAGAGGGTAAAAAAGAGAAGAATCTTCTGTTACTAATTTGGCCTTTCTTTATTTAAGAAAAACGTTCATTTCTGTGGTCAAAGTATTTTAAATTCCTATTTTCGACGATTTTTACTTTGGGTCCCCCTGAATCTGTTTAGACTGTTTGTGTGTAAACTCCATAAATCAAAATAGAAGATAACATTTTGGGCATAGTCGAAGCATCTGAGGGAGAGGGTATTTTATAGGATATTTTTTACTTTAGGAATTATTTAAATAAAAGTTGTCCAAGTAAACCACAAATAGTCGGCATTCGCTCGGCCTGACACCGGTATGTACGGGAAGCCGAGTATTCTGATTGCTGTTTTCGGCGTTTGTTCTGCGAGCCGGGAGGACCGTACCATTTTGACTTAATTTAGAAGTAGAAACCGCATATGGTCCATTTTTGGCGTTCCAGACATGGGAAGCATCCTTACGGGTCGAACACGGTTAATATTTGGCTAGCCGGGCATGGGAGGCATCCTTACGGGCCGAACTATAAATAGATATATGAAGGCGGCTACAAATTAGTTTCGCTTGGCAGACATCCCAGCTAGCACAAAAACATCCCATCTACGTTAATAAGCTGCAATTTTAGGCTCTTTAAGCTCGCATGCAATGTACTGTAAATGTAACCCTTATCTCCCTGTAACTACCGAATGTCCGCAACGGCAAGACTTTTATAGCACATCTCACAGAAGTTACAAAGTGAAGTTCGAAAAACATCACACTAGCACTTTTACGGTACTTACCCCGAAAGTTGCTCTGAAACGTTCTATTGATGTTATAATGTGAATTAGATCTACAGCATTATACAGTGTGTCCACGGATGGGCTTAACTATACTTGTGAAAATATTTATTTTAAATTAAAAAAGTAATTCTTCATAATTTCTTACTTGTTAAATAAATTCGATTCACATTGAGAAATTATGAAAAATAACTTTTTCTTTAATTTAAAATAAATATTTTTACAAGTATAATTAAGTCCATCCGTGGACACACATTGTGAAATGTAATACAGAGAGGCTGAAATTGAGGCTATAGTAAAATCTCAATCGAGACATGAAAATTTCAAATAAAACAAAATATTTATATAAATTTATTATTAAAATGTTCTTGAAATCAAGTACCAATAGCACAAAAGTAGAGGTAGGTGTAGGAGTGTTCTTTTATTCAGTGCTGTATCCAGCGCTTGCAGCAAACCGTTCGTTCACCAATGAGCCAAGGCATCCATCGGCTTTAAAAGCCGATGGATATGTGATAGACGAATGGTGAGGATAATCAATCATTTAAGTTAACCTAAAATATAAGAGTTCAAATATAAAACGACTGCAGAATAGATAAATTACATCAATCACTGATGGAACAATTATTGAATAAAAGAACACACCTTATATCACAAACACAAGTACACATGTGGGATAGAAGAAGCTACCTAGAAAGCACTGAACGATTGGACAAAATTAGCTAAATAGTATAATAAGGTACCAATATTGCAAAGGTTCACTAAAACCTTAAATGGTGAATGATGATAAAGCTAGATTGGTGAAAAATAATAAACGAATACAACAATGACTAGGTACATATTATTATATTAGATTACTAGAGGATAGCTAAGTTCGCTGATTTCTTACCTAAGACGCAGAGATATATCTTTTTTAAATCAAGCCTTTTAACTTTTTTTGCATAGATATTTATAAAGTGCTATAATGTAACCTAACTATGACAATTTATTGGAAGAGCATAAATTATATTTTTATATAAAAAGATTTTACTTCTCAATACATTGAATAAAAAAGAAATTGATAACTTGTTTACCTATTATTAATTCAAGGAAATTATATAGAAATTAAAAAATATGCCTTACTTTGTTGTTTTAAATAAAACAACCAATGTTAGTGTATTGAAATTTGTTTGAATTTTACAAATTTTATGCTTGATTTCCAAAGTAGATATATCGATGGCTCAATCAAAAAACGCCACAAGTCAAAAAACAAAGCAATTACATTTTTGGTTCAATGGATGCAAAATATCATTACGGTTTTACTTTAAATACCACCACAAACAAAAATATCCTTAAAGATAAATCATTTAAAATGTAGCCACAAACTGTGTCTAAAACTGCCTCAATTCGAGTTATTTTCTTCAAAAACACCCAAATTTTTTACAACTATGCAACAACTCACTTTTATAATCGTAATCATTTTATTTAACAGCAAAATATCGAAGCTTTTAAATAAAATATAAAGAGTATGTCAAAAACAAAATAATGATAATAGAGACTTACAAAATTTCAAAATGAAATTTCTCAAAATAATAGTATTTTAGTTGTGGCAGTATTTGATTGAGCCATCGATATGTAGATTTTATAAAAAACAACTGGTGTTTTTTAGCAAGATATTCTATTATACTCGAGAGTATCATCTACGATTTCTCTCAACTTTTCTGCTGGGTTTTCACTTGAACTGATGTTGCATTTCCAGGCAATCTAGCCTGTTGAAGAGAATGAACTGCTTGAATTTTAATATACCTGACATATCATGTACCTATAGATTCACTTTTTATAAAACTTCAGGTGTTATATTCTTCTTTACACTTCTGTAGTATTTACTTTTGCTTCTAAAATTCCTAGAATGTCAAAGGAAACCTAAAAAATAATATTTTTAAAATGTATTTTTAGTTCGATAAAGTATAATTACCTTTTATAAGTATTTGGTGTAAAATGTTGCCGGACATTCGGTTAAATGTTTATCTTCTGGTTTACAACGATTGATCTGCAATTCTTTGTTTTTATTGTAGTTTTTTTTTATTTGGTGTCATCGGCATCGACTGCTAAAGATACTTAATGAATGAAATAATAAATTTACATCAGGCATTGTAATCTGAAACAAAGACAATGGTTTAGAAAATAGTTATCTATTTTATAGAGGACCCTTACCAAATCTATTCGAATGTATAAATAATAATTATTTATAAAATAAATTCTGGATCATGGAGGAAGGATAATTTCTGGATGTCGAAAAATAAACCATTAAAAAAGACAATTGACAAGAAAAACTGACAAGTGACAATTGACATAAAACTAAACGTTCTGAATAAAGATTTGTAATGTTTACGGTAGGTTAACTAGGTAAATAACAAATAGAAGTTTTGCGAGGTTTTGATTTCCCTCAACAACTTCTCATGAACGTTGCATTTACGTTGTACAGTAATGTTATTACGTTCCCTTAATGCAACATCGCCGAAAGGCTTGGCAACGTTATGTGCTAGCTGGGATGCCCTACCTAGCTATATGCCGAAGCTGCACCCGTATATCGGCAAGCCACCTTCGGCCCAGTTACAGAGCCCAACTGTGTTTATAATTTTTGTTCCATACATGATTTTTCTAAAATTAACCGTAATGGAAAAATTTGAGTGTTAAAATTTAAATTTTTCAGTATTTTCGTTGGCATATATTGTCGTGCGACCGCCTGAGACCGACCCTGATCTTCTCGCCGTACAAGATGGTCTGCGTTTCGGTACCGCTGGACAGACACAAACCCACTTCTTCGAGAAGTTAATGGATAAATCTTTGCGTGCTCACAGAGGAAGGATTTCCAGAGCTTCTAGACTACCACCCAGAATCTTTTCAAGCTGGGCTGGCTTTATATAAATAACGCGACTATGTATTTAGTTCATAATACATTTACAGGGGTGATACAATAGGATGTACAAAATAAGCGAAAAAAACTGTAATAACTAGGCAGGAAAGTAATTCATTTTGATTTTATATTTTTTAGAAACAAAAAATATTGGGGAAATAGATATTTCTCATCACTTTTTGAAACTTTTAATCTACTATAAAAACAACAAATAAAGTACTTTATTCTTATATTAAGTATAAAAATAGGATATAACATTTTGAAAATTCTTCCACATTGTAGGCTATTTCTGAGACACCATTCCTTGATTAATTTGTTAAATTCTATTCAGTCTATTCTCATCTTCAATAAAATTGTAATAACAGTAATTTTTTAATTCGACTTCACACTTCCTAATGTGTTGTTTTCTACATTTTTCTCCCTTAAAAATTTTTATAAGTTAATTCTTTGCAAATCGCTAAATTTTCCAGGTATATTTTATTCAACTTTTTTGGAGAAGCTCACGTTCTTACAATTTATTTTTATTAATTACCTAATTTGAGCTTCGGTCAGACATTCCACAGAATTATTGCTAAATTCATTTTGTAAGTCTCTTCGAGGATCATTTTTTTGACCAAAACCATCAGTACCAAAGCCGTTAATTTTTGTATTTTCATCTGAATCTTTGTCCAACAATTTACATATTTTAGGACAGTCTGTATCATCATTCTCCTCAACCATGGCGATTTTAATAGAAGAGTATATTTTTTTGACAAATATGCTAGCGCCTACATATCCCACGGTTCCGCAAATTACGCCCAGAGCTCCACAAAACAGAGTCATGTATCCAAAATACAAAGTCGTCTGCAATAGTCCATACATACTATAAAAAGAGAGAACTAGACATTAAACAAAGCAAAAATCAATTGTCAACGTCAAATTACTGTCTCGGTTAATTACTATAACCGTTTTAAAGTGATCAACCGGTAATTTGCGGTATTTACCGTTTGTTATCCTTGGTTACTTTCTATAACGTCATATTAAAGCCCTTTAAAACGTCATTAATTATAACCGGTAAATACCTGAGTCCAGACGTGGGTTAATATTGACAAGTGGAAGTGACATGCAATTAGTGTTTTTTGGTTAGATTATAGAATTAGCTCAGGCAAAATTGGAAATGACATTAGCTACGTAATTTATCAAAAAATGCTACTGACACCATGTAAAAAACATGTCAAACTGTTCTTTATTAAATTGTAACATCCAGTCTACATAAATATAATTCTTTTTGGTAACATATCAACATCACACAATTTTATTCCGGCCAGTTTCATAAAATTAACCTAGAAATTAAATGTCAAAATTTAATGTTATTCCTTAAAAACGATTTAACGTTAATGCGTCAGAATAACCGGTAATCTTTTTAGGGCTATAGTCACGTGATTTCAAGGTTAACCAAGGGTATAACCAAAGTGATTTCTGGTTCATCGCTTTAAAACGGTTTATGTCAAAAATATTTGTTTCTTACTTTGTTTTGGCGATAAAGTAATAGATGGCGTATATGTAGACATAGGTGGATGTTGAAGCTGCAATTAAAAATGACGTCCAATGCCAACGATAGTCCTCAGCATTCAGCAAAAAGTAAGTACATACAATCGTGATGCATATGGTTACAATAATTAAATTAATAAGAACCAGAAGCATAAAATCGTAGTAGATTTTGTAAGTCCAAAAGGAAGTGAAGACAAAATATCTAGAAAAATATTTGTTAGTCAAAATTTTTATAAAAACCATTACTGCTAAATCAAAATGAATGCACACAAATGGCATATCAATTCTATTATATTTGACATACATTTCAGAGAAAATACTAGCAAAAGGCAGCACTCCACCCAATAGATATATAATTCCAGGTTTCAAAAACCACTTCTTTTCAGGAATAGGTCTAGGTACAGTGTTTATGTGGCAAGGATAATCCGGTTGACCAGCCAACTCCCTGCCCAATGCTGCACCAACCAGAGTCAGAGGAAGTATCACAAAAATAAAAATGCAAGCCACTTCAACCTGAAAAACTCAGTAGTTCAAATGTATCTCATATCGTCGCTGTTACTGCAATAGGTTGTATATCAAAAAATACACCGCTTCAATTTCAATAACAACGACGATATGTCTAATATAAATAATTGAAATGTCCTATACAGGGTGTTTCCGAACTTGGCGTCCAAATTTGTAGGGGTGGTAGTTCGCATAATTTGAGACCGATTGGCAGATTTCATTTTTCTAAAAAATTATAATAAACTAAATACAGCCATTATAAAAAAAATCAAAGAGCAGATCCTACCCTGAGCACGTAGCGCAATAGTACTCAAAAACAGATGCGATTTGCAATTTTGTAGATTCTAGCGTAGCGCGCGCGAGTCGATCCTATCGCTGTGCAGGACCGTATCTGTTTATACTTTTTAATTAATTTTTAATTATTTTTATTTTAAATATTTTGGAAAAATGAAATCTGCGAATCGGTGTCAAATTATGCAAACTACCACCCCTACAAATTTGGACGCCAAGTTCGGAAACACCCTGTATAAGGACTTGCTAAGATTTTTCAAACTTACCATTGTACCAAAAGATATAACTCTAGATGATTCATAGTAGACAGCTATCAAGTTGATATAGAATGGATAACTGCATGCAAAAGTCGGTAATAAGAAGGCAGATACAATCATTTGTTGGATCCACATTTTCCCGCCCATTCTGGCATACAACGAGCCACCAAAATATCCGTTTATTGGAGAAGTTACGGTATAAATGAAAATTGAGGTAAAAAGTAGAGAGCCTCTCCTATTAAAGAAACTAAAAAAATTTAGAGATAATTTTGCTGGAAGCAATAATTTTTTAGGTCGTAATATAAATAAAATCTTACTTTGCATATAGTCCTCCTAAGGCTGCAAAACATATGTCAATAAAAGCAATAATAGTCAGTTGGTATCCAGAACCAATAAGTGCAGAGAAATATAAAGAATGAGATGGTGATCTAAAAACGTCACCATGCACCTGTTTCCAACCATATTCGTCAACTATGTCAGGTTTCTAAAAGTAAAAAATTAGTTTTTATATAAATAAAGGCAATTGTCATGGAAAGGATTTTACCATTTTATCAAGATCTTGATCTTTGCAGTATAATGCAGCATAATCTTTCCTTAGCATTCTCCATAAAATCATAGATACTACACCAATTAGGAGTATAACTATAATAAAACTACTGAAAATGCCATATGAATGGACCTAAAATGATTATATTTGTAATGTCAGTAGAAGTTATAATGTATTTCTATCAAAATCTATTTTTAGACACCAGTACAACAGAACTGTATTAAAAGTTGCATACCCTTCTTGGGCCAGCTGCAAATAAGTATTTTTGTAAAAGAAATACTTCAGTTGGGAATAATAATTTACTGTACACTTGATTTCAAAGAAAGCGTGAAAGTAGTATATTTTATTCTCGCAGTATAAACTTTGATTAGACATTGCAGATGCGCATAACTTACATACACATTATTACTTCCATTATAAAAGTCAATTTGAAAACGCCAGTGTTAGTAGTAAAAAACTTACATTGTGTTTGAAGAAATCATACTCCAAATATTTATCAAATCTATCCTTAAATTTGACATCACTCCTTGTCCATATAACTTCATAGGTAAAGGTCAGTTGTGTTTCAGGGGTCAGTTCGACTTTTCTTTCAGTAGTTAAGTTAACATCAACGATTTGCTTTCCATTGTAGCCAATTTGGAACTTCTTGTGAGTCCAAATATAATATTTGTTATCTGCTATTGTACCAACTACACCCCATATAGGGAGATCATCAATGTACATCTGATACCAATAATGGTTTTTGACTGCATATTCAAAAGCTTTATATCTATCATTCAGTTGGACAGAACAATACTCTTGTTTGGACTTGTTCACTAAAATTTAATGTTAAAACCACTTTCAGTGAAGGCGATTGAAGTTCTTTTGCCTAGCTTAAATAATTATTGAACATATTTACTTATTTTCTATAGAAAAAAAAAAAAAAAAATAGTCATAGATGTAATTTTAATTATAACTGAATAAAAAGTTTCAGAAAAAAAAAACTTTTTAGTATCATTCCCTATAAACAGTATAAAATAGTGGTGAGCTTATCAGTGATTTTTAGGTCACCCACATACCAGCGACTTATAAATCACCATTTTTTTAACATTTACTGAGGTCACTGTTTCATTATGTCAACTATCCATTCCATATTTAATGTTTTATCCTTATCTTAATTATTCCAAGTATAGAGAGTCCAAAGTCAAAACAATAAATAATAACAAACAAATAGTATTATAGTAATATCAGTGAAATTGTTTACTTAAGGTATTTTAGAAACCCATAAATTTGATTAGTTATTTTCAGGAATATAAAAAAAAACTATAACTTAAAAAAAACATATTTAAATTATCTCAAACCAAAAACTAATTAAAATATTGCAAGACTGCAAAACACACTCTTGCAACAGGGATAACTGATTATAAATAAACTAAATCTGCAATCCTAAACTAAATATATTTTGTTTAGGATTACTGACTAGGTGACTAATATATCAAAATAGGTATCAAATAACAAATACAAATATTATCACCAGAAAGGGGAGGTCAGGCAACTTTTAATTAGTAACCAGATTCGCTGCTTTGTGGAAAATTAGATAGGAATGTAGTAACAGTGACCATCCAAGTCACTGGTATAAAAATATCGCCCATCACTAGTATAGAATGTTCATTAAATTGATTAACAAAGTTTCAAAACATGGAAATTTTGAGAACTCACACTTAAAATCAATATCAATGCCACTGAATACAAGTCCCACTCCCAGTAAAGCTTCACTGAGGGTTTCATGGTAGTGGTTGATCACCTCTTTGGAACCAACACAGAATGGCAAAGAAAAATAAGCATATGTTTCTTGTTTATTGTAGAAAGGTCCTACTGTGTTCATCCACAGTATTACCTCTTCACATTCTTCATACTGAAAATTAAATAGATTTAATTTTAATTATTTTTAAGTATAGTTTTACTTTTATTGTTAATAATACTACAATAATAACTATTTTAGATATATTTTTATACTCTTCGAGCATATCTCGAAGATTCTACTAAAATCTTGTCCCAATTCCTTGTATTTCAAAAATGTTTTTACTTACTATGTGATTTTGCTCATCGAAATATGCCCCGGTAATCAATGAAAGAATAATAACTGAGGAGCACACAAGACGCATTCTCATATCCATTTATTAATTAAACCACAGTTTAATTAAACTCTATTATAAGTTTATAAGTATCAGTCCACTCCCATATTTGATATCTGCTTACATGATTGATTTTTAATGATTGATTATTGATTATTCACTGCAATGTAAACAGGTAAACAGTCAGTAAACAGCTGTGTAAACCATAGATAAATTAATATAAAACAAGATGAATTTATTAAATGCCCGCCACTGTCAACACGGCGTAGTTCCCAGCATACTATTAGTTAGCGCCACCATCGCATTAGTATGAAAGCGATGTTGCCGGTTTCCGTAAACTTTCATGAGATGATAGTTATTTCAAATTCATTTTATTTTAATTTTTTATCAATCTACATGCGCACAATACCATCCATACAATGTCCATACTATTGCTGAGATTTTTAAAAGACGGGATTGACAACCTTGTAAAAAATGAAAAACGTGATGGCGGAAGGCGGGATATGATGATAAAATAAAACTTATTTTTATTTTATGATGTAAGTTACATAGGTAGGTAAGTTATTTTTAGGTTAAGAAACAAACGGTGCTGATTTGATGTAATTAGTAAGTATTAACTTTAATTTAATATTAAGTATTTAAGGACTTTGTTTATCATTGTTTTCTTAGCCTTAACGATATATAATAGGTATCTAATTTCATATTTCAACAATTCCTTTTCTAATATTTGAAACAAAAATGTCTGGCCCGGGTATAGTTAAGTATTCTTGTTCAGCTCCTAATTGTTTAAATAAGTATTATTCTAATATTCAGCAAGTTGGTTAATCAAATAAAGCATTTTTTCATTTTCCTTCTGATGTTAAAGTTCGCCAGAACTGGTTTAAGAATTTCAATTTAACTTTAGATGATAATAATATTCGCTATCTTTGTGAAGATCATTTTTTGCCAGTCTTTTAGTAAGGTTTCCTCAAAACGTAAACGACTAGTTGTACATTCTGTACCAATTTCTTTAGATAATTATGCATCCAGTTCAAATATACAACCCGAGAGCCAGATTTCAGAATATATTGAGGCTGAAGCACAAACACAGCAGCATAAGATAGATTTGCTAATCAGCAACGAAAATCAAGAAATTAGTTGGAAACGTAAACTAAATATTAGTGATGTACAATTTGAACAACCCTCCAAACGGAGAAAAACTGTTTTGCAACAAATAAATGAAAGTAAAGTCAAAAATTTAAGTCCCAAAGAGAAAAAGCTGTATTTTATTAATAGAGAACAAAACGTTAGAATTTGTAAGCTAAAGAAAGCTCTACTCTACGTGTTTCCAAAAATAAAATCAAGAAAGCCTTTGAATTATCCAAAACTCAGTTATTTTCAGATTTTAATAATAAATTAGATCCGATTGGAATTAAATTCTTTAAAAGTAGTTTAGAAAATTGTAAGAGAAAGAAACCCTCTTGGACCACTCAGAATAAAATTTTTTCTTTAGCATTATATAAAAATGGTCCAAGAGCATATAATTTTTTAAGAAAATGCATTTCGTTGCCTAGTAAATCTACTATCCAACAAATTTTAAGTGATTTACATTTTGAAACGGGGATAAATGATTCAGTGTTTTCCAGATTTAAAGAAATTGTTAGAAAAATGCCAGAAATTGATAGGAATTGTATTTTAATGTTCGACGAAATAGCTCTAACCGAAAAACTCACTTTTGATACAGTTAATGACAAAATTATTGGATATGTTGACTGCGTCGTTCTCAATCTTCGTCAAATAATTAAAAATAACTTAGTTTTATAAAAATGGTCAACATTTTGATAAGAGAAATTGTTCAATAACATATATGTACACTTTTTGTTTTGTTTTTATAGGAAACACCTGACGCCCATTAAAGTATGGTCCATTTTTACAAGAATGTGGGGAAACTAGTATTCATTTCACTTACAATTGTTCTTTATTAACACATTATGTATGTATTACTGTATAATAAATAATTTAAATATATTTGTCTTATATTTTATTTCAGTGTAAATATTTTTTGTCTACATTTTTGTATACATTTTTTGGGGTTTTATAACTAAAAAAAAACTAATATATATGTTAAATACAATATTTTAATATAAATATTAGTTTTTCTTTTTAAAGTAATGAACCCCAAAAAATATAAATAAATAAATAAAGATATTTAAATGAACCGCGGTTACGTTAACACTCTTCTTTTTTTATGCCTCTTACTGACAAATCAATCAGCCAGTGTAGTTCAAAAAAGATCCGTTCCATACTAATTCGCAGCACTACGTTTCCAAAGATTAACACAGAATCCGACCATCTTCTTTATTAGTTTATCTATGGTGTAAACAGCATAGAAAAATAAAAAGTAAACAGCATGGAGAAAGAGAAAGGTAAACACAGAACAAGGTAAACAGTAACACAGAACACTTACTCTCTGCTTACTCTAAGAACACAGAAACATGTTTTGTTGTGTAAACTTATTATGTAAGAGGCCAATAAATAGAAAACTTCTTTTCGCTAATATATAAAGGTCTGTGATTTATACTTTGTGCGACTAGCTTGTACGGTATGTCAAAAATTTGACGTATTCATTGTCCGTTTTGTTTTGCTCATTTTCGTTTTCGTTAGATTTTTGAAATGGCTGGGGTGACTAACATACTTGAATCAGTCCGCGAGGATGATTTTGTCGAATATTTTCTATTTCCACCTATCGAAACCAACGATGAACAAGAACAGGAACGTATTTTAACTGCAATTTTGGATAAAGCGAACAAAATCATTCATAAATACACAAAGAACTTTTTGTGGCACAAAGATGAATTTAGACTAGTGGTGCGAACATCCATTAGTAATTACCTTAATGAACTCGATGGCCAAAGAGGTAAAATTTTTAACAATAAATCTTTAAGTGTGTTTATTTTATATTTTTTTTTAGAAAATCTTCCACCTCACTTGTATGGGGTCTCCCACTATGGTGATAACATTGAGGATGAGTGGTTTATGGTTTTTATTCTACAGCAACTAACAAGAGAAATTACAGATTCTATTGTTAGAGTACATGATTCTGATGGGGAGTTTTTGCTCATTGAAGCTGCTGATTATTTACCCAGTTGGGCTAGTCCAGAAACATGTGAAAATAGGGTAAGTTGTCATTGTTTTTATGTAATAACATGTTAAATAAAGTTTTATATATGATTTGAGTAGCATTAATTGAGTTTTCATTCATTTCCATGTTAATGGTGCATTCTCCTGGAGAATTTTTATGAAAGATCCAATAATGTTTTGGCCGAGGGGCAAATCACTTCCGCAATACGTGTACAAAATGTCCGCAATCCCATTGAAAATCGCCGCAGTATCATCAAAATCAGTGACAATCGCTAAGAAATCGCCGCAGTCGTTCCGAATTCGCTCGCAGTCGTTCCGAATTCCCTTGCAGTCCCCCGAATTCTCTCGCAGTCACTAGCAATCGTTAAAAATCGCGCGCAGTAAGGTGACATTAAGCTATTGCCATTGTTGGCTAGGGTGCTTTGATTAAGCCATCTAAACCATTTTGTGTAAAGAAATTGCAGTTTACATTTATCGAAAGGGTCCTTCCGTGCATTTTGACGTAAGAACTATTAACATAAATTTACATTTTGGAATTTGAAGGTCTTTTTAGGATAAATTTAGACAATAAATCTACTTGTATACAAGATTTTACAAGGTGGTCGAAAATTGTCTTTTTCATCTATTTTTTTTTAATGTATAACAAAATTGTTGGTATTTTATGGGGGGTTGGGGGGATACAAGTTTTAATTAGGGTTTTAAATGTATTTTTACTTTCCTATCTGTGTACAGATAAGGAAAGTATAGGAATCATGATTTTTTTCGACCTCGAAAGCTTAAGCTTTATTCCGGCGTCCAATTAACTAATTAGATTTTGAGCAGAGTCGGAACATCTGGGGGGTACTTTATAGGTCATCATTTTTATATTTTATGGAATATATGTTATTTACGTTTGGAGAAGAAAATTCTTTAAATAAAAGTTACTTACAATATTATTATATATAATTTATTCTATACAAAATTTTCCTAAAATGATCCGTATTCAAGAAATGTGGCAAAATGTAAAAAAAAATATTTTTTTTTATAAAAATTGTTCAAATAAAAGTTGTTTGTAATATAATTCTGTATAATTTTTGCTCTATACATAATTTCTCTAAAATGGACCGTATTCGAGATATTTAAGAAAATGTGTAAATTTCGAATTTGAAGAAAAATCAAAAATGGATAAAGTAAAAAATATTAAATTTTAAACTTAAGTTTCTATATATGATATAGATAATGAAATGAGCATTTTTTATGGATTGAAAGATCTTAATATAAAGGATTTTAGAAATTACGACACAAAGTGATACTTCATTTTTAAACATAATTGTGAACAACAAAAAAATGAAGGTAAAAAAAATTAGCTTTGTTGGTTATTTTCCACTAAAGACGGGCGCTTGTCAACTGACAGATTACTTCGTGTAAAAGGTACATCCTCAGCAGTACTAAATAACAAAAAAATCAAGTCCAGAAAAAAACAACTAAAATACCAAATAACTACAATGACAAAGATGTAACAGAAAGTGAAAAAACTTCCGGTGAAAATACTTTGTTCCAGAAAAATATCAATGGCATTTTAATTAGGATCAAAAAATATTACGCAGTTCTTTACGAGTCGTGGTACATAGGTCGGATTGTTCAAATAATTGATGAAACCACTAATAAAATAAAAATTTTAAATTCTGAACTTGAAGAATATTTATGGCCAAAAAAGACGACATTCAAATTGTTAAAAATAAATTAATATTTTACGGACCCATCAATTTAATTGGACCTGGTCCATTTAAACTAGAAACAAATGATAAGTTAAACATTGATAAAATTTGTAAACGTCTAAAAAAACTTTTATGAAATTTTTAAATAAAAAACCTCCAATTGCTTAACTTGTTTTATTTACCTGTACATATTTGTTCATTTAGGCATATCAAAGATATCTAATAATGGAGGCATGTAAGTACCTACATAGAAGTTTATATTTTGTGAATCACATCAGTTAAAACTGATCTTTCGAATGAATATAAAACGTACAAAAAGTTGATTTATTGATAAATTTGTGATTCACACTTAGTTTTAAATCAATGCATTGTATTTAGCACCCATACATGTGCTATACAAAATTTAGTTTTTCTGATAAAACACCTAGCTAATGCTCTTTTACTGGAAACCAACTGGTAATCCATACAATATCGTAGAAATCCTTCGGAATGCGTGCAATTTGCAATAATACTGGCAATCCATACGGTAATCGCCGCAATCAATAGGGAAATCGTTGCAGTCAATACATAAATCACCGCAGTCACGGGAAATCTGTCGGAAGTCATGTGGAAATCACCGCAGTCATCCAGAAATCGCCGCAGTCAACCAGAAATCGCCGCAGTCATCCAGAAATCGCCATATGATTGCAGAAATCATATGAATTCGGCAATACATGTACATTTTTACAAAGAGTGATTTGCCCCTCGGTTTTGGCTATAATTTTAATTACGAAATTTTTATTCACACTTTGTATACATCATTTTCTGGTATTTTATTTCACTTATTATGTTGATTTGACTTACATGTTGATTTTATTGTTGTATAGGTTGAAACTGTTTGATTGTTTTTAACTTTCATCTCATGATTTGTTTATTTTGTGACTATTTTTTTTTAAATAACAGTTAATTAAAGTATTCATGTGGCCTACAAATGAAAGTAGACATTTATTCTTTTAAATTTATTTATAATTAAAGTTTTTTATTCCTCAGGTTTACATTTATGGTGGAAATATCCACCTTATCCCTACCACTTCATCTAATAGCTTTTTAACAATGACTGAGGCTTTACAAAAGATCAGACAGGATCCAACATGCACAGCAGGTTCTCCAGACATACAAAATTCCATAAAATTAAAACTAAATGGTTATCCAGAGAAGTTGAAAGACAATATCCACAATGCAGTAGTATATATCCCTATTGGTGTAGCTAAAGTTCTACAAGTCAAACCTAATCTTGTGTCAGCTGCCGTACAGGCTTTTTGCAACAGAGATTCTGTTGATTTAAAAGCCTGCAGAGCTATGAAATATTTCCCACCTGAAAATAGAGTTAAAAGAAGAATAGCATTTACGAAATGTCTTTATGCTATGCTTACACATAGTAAATATATTCCTGATAGACGCACTGGATGGAATTTGCCACCTGCTAATTCTTTAGAATATAAATGTAACATTTTGGGTCTTAAATTAGCCTGTGGTTTTGAAATCTTGGCATCACAAGCCAAACCCACTTCAGATGTTGAATCTGACAGAGGTTGGCTGAATTATTCAAAGAGTCTAAAAGAAAAGGGCTATTTCCAGGAATACTTGGAACATTCTTTAGGCTATAACAATTTACTAAACAAAGCTAAAGAGTATTATGTTGATCATAGAGATTCAATGCACCAAAGCAATTCAATTGGTCAGGAAATTTTAGATATAACCAGGAATTTTGAATCAGATTTAGAAGAGGAAACTAATCTTGTTGATGATGATGATTCTTGGTTAAATATCAGTCCTGAGGACTTAGATAAAATGCTCCAAGAAAAATATGGCCAAAAGAAAGTGTTTAATGTCAATAATAATACAGATGCTTCCACTTTTACAGAAAAATTATCCAGTTTTTTGAACCACATCTCAGATGTAGATGGAGCCGAATTCCCAAACGATAAAGATTCTCCTCTTAGACCACCTAGACGGAAAGATAAGAATAAAGTGTCATTTTCAAGAGAGGCAAAATCTGAAGAGAACGCCACCAATAATAAAATTAATTTTGATCCAAACTCTTTTAGTTGCGCCCTACAGAACATCTTAAATTTTGCTATACCTGAAGATGATTCTTGGGATTTGGAATCGGATTCAGATATGAGTGAATATGAAGAAGATAATTATGTCAAAAGTCAAACTTACGAAAATGAAAAAGTTAAAAATAAGTTGGAAAAATACATGGAAGAAATGGATAAGGAATTGGAAGGTACAACAATGGGAAAGAGTTTTGAAAAGAAAAACGGGGATAACTTTGAAGATATCGAGAACTTTACTCCGGTTGATATTAATGTGAACGCTTTGAAATATATTTTGGAGAGTTACAAGAGTCAGATGGGAGAAGCGGGGCCTTCTAGCACCATGCTGGGTCCTATGGGAGTTCATTTGAATCCTAAAGAGAACTTAAATCTCGATTAATAGATTGAACTCAATTATGAAGAATCTTTTACACATGTAAGAAATGTGATACCTTAATGTGCAAACCAACTCCATTTTAAAAATTACAAACGAAGCTATACAAATATGCCTTGTCTACGATTTAATTGTTTCTTAGTTTCATATTTATTGCCCAAACGTTTATACAGGGTGTTCACAAAAATAATGCTTTTCTTTCACATGTGGATATATTTTGGAAATTAAACAATTGTATGTAAATTTAAAAATAGGATAAACTTAATGTTTATTAATATGTATGTATATGACAGTATTTTTTTGTTTTTATTAATTTATTTAAAGTCTGCCTATTTCTAATTAATTCCCTGGGATGTTCCAACCAGAGATAGGAATCTTTAGTAACTCCAACATTCATGGACTCGCGACTGACTGCTTTATATCTCTTTTCCGAAAAGATGTCACAGCCCATGCTGTACGTCGTACTCGATATTCCTGCCCGGTGTGGTATGTATTCAGTGAGCAGTTTGTTCAGGCGCTGGACCTGGCTTGACTGCAGGTATATATATATATATACACAATAAACGAATCTGCTATGCAGGGCCGCTGCTCGCATATGACAGTAACTATTTGAATTTAATTCAAATATTTGATGTCTTAGGAAAGATCATAGTACCTTGTTCTTTATGGGAGGAAATTATTTTGAAAAATTCCTCTGGATTTGTTACATAAACAAAATTATCAATACCATGATGTGATACACCTTATATTTGTGGTAAAATAATTCTTGCACTGTATGTAAATAAAAAATAAATATATCATTGCATTGATATGGAAAATGTTACTAAATTTTCCTGGCTCTTCTTTCAATTAATATCTAAATACTTAAGACTGTTGTGTTTATTTGGCTTAACTGTAGTCTTATAAAGAAAGACATTATTTTAATTGCCACCACCATGTAGATGTATTTTATTCTCATAATAATTGGTTGGGAGTTATCTGGTTTGCAAGTTCTGGTATGGATATGTATTACTGCCAGTAAATTGTGTAAAATATTCTGAGAAACTGTTCAAATATATAGAATGTTCAACAATTAACCATTTATGTCAAAATTTAAAAAGATAACCAAGTTATTGAATTTGTAAATGGAGTTATTTGAAGATTCTATATATTTTATGTATTTGCCGCCTGAACAATTAATCACCCAAAAATAGAGGCCAGAATTAAAGTAAAATATTGTGTCCTTAAAAACAAGCAACTAGAATAAGACTATATTATAATAATTAGAATTTGTATCTGCCATTTTAGTAGTTTGTAGCTATTTTTATGTTTTGCCATACTTGTGCACTAAAGACTCATGTATTAAAAACCTTCCTACTTCTTAAAAACCTTCAATCTAGTTTTAAGGTATTTACTCTTTTTTTAACTTTAGAAAATATTAGTTTATGTTTTTGTATTAGATGAAATTATTTTCGTCTTTTGTGTATTGCCAACAACTCATATTTGAGTTAAAAATATTTTTTAAAATATCTCGCAATATTTAGGAAATCAGGGATGCTTGTTAATTAAATTTTTGACCGTTATCTCTATGAAAAGGAAATTTTATCAGTTTTATATACAAATCTAGTCCTGTTCACACGCATTTTTGTAATTTTTATTCCCAAATAAAATTGCAAACGCTATTTAAATTGTTTCAATTAAAAAAACCTCCAGATACCTTTAAGAATAGTAAGTGGGTACTTATTAAATGAAATTAAGCAATAATTTTCTGGTGTTTTATTTAATAAAACTTTTAATAAACAATAAAAAAACAAATATTTGATTCCTATATTAGGCAAAGGTTATTTACAAAGGTTTAAACCATTTTGGGAAGTTTTCAGGAGGTTGATACTGGGGTTTTCTTTCTTCCACATCATGGGTTACTCCTGAACTGGTACTGGCACCAGCATTGACTTCTGGTTGTGTTTTTAGATCTTCACTAAAATCATAATCACAGTCATCTTCTGGTTCAACACCACATTTTCTGGTGTTTTTCTTCCTAAAACATAATTTCCTCTAAAATAATTTAACCACTCAACAGCAAAGGTAGATCTTAACCCTTTAAGTATGAATGTCGCATATTTACAAGACATTTGCAAATAATAGCGACGAAGGTAAAACAATCAGGATATCTCATATATTCATATGAAAATGTTACTTTTTAAGTACATATTATGGCCAAAGGTCACTTGTGATCGACAAATCATATAGCATGAGGTATAGCCTTACGTCGCTTACAACCTTCCTAAGTTTGAACCTAGGGAAAGACTTAGGTAAAAACTAATACAGGTGGCAACATCGCATGGTAACTGACCACATAATTTACAATAAGCAAACCAACACACGTAAATCCCTTTACAGAGCAACCTAATAAATTATTAACAATATAAGTAGTAAAGATGACATGAAAAGAATTATAAAATAAAAAGTATATAAAAAACTGAAAATGAAAATAAAATAGAATAAAATAAAAAACTCGAACATTGTCATAATAGTTGCAAGAGCAATTGCTTTAATACTTCTCAAACTATCTTTGAAGATATCCGAAGAATTACAGTACATGCTAAAGTTATTACACATGACATTGAGCGGTGAGCTTAGTAGAATATTTGTTCTAGATCTATTACAGTAAAAAGTTAAGTGATGTCTGTTATTATACTGTGGAACCTTTAAATGAATTTTAGCCAAGATAGCAGGACAGTCAATTAACCCATTCATGATTTTATGTAAACAAGTCAATGAAGCTAGAATTCTCCAAAACGCAAGATTTTTCATGTTAAAACTGTCGAAAAGTAGCTGATAATCAATTCCTCTTGGCGGGTAGATTCCATTTACTTTGAATGATAAGTATTTCAAAAACTTCCTTTGAACAGATTCAACACTAGTCATATGAACATTATAATAATGTGACGAAAGTCTAATTTATTTAAAGTTTATTTATTTAAAAACACACTATTTACAATTTATTTCAGACGTACTATTTAATTTATGTAATATTTAGACACTAACTAACAATTCTAATTTATTTCTTCACTTTAACTTTTCAATACAATGTTCTAAATTAAACTAAACTCGGCGCTGATACGTCGGCTATTTATATTAGTCCAAATCCGCTACTGGAAAATACATTCCTTTTTATGACTAAGCGGCACTCTCGGCCATTCCAGTCGCTTCCAGTGCACCAGCGGCAGACATTCCGTCGTATTCTTATACATTCGAGAGGCGGGCCGGCTGTTTTCACACGTCAGCGTTGCTTCGATCACGAATTGGTTGCCATGTGAAGGCCGCGTGCTTCCACAGGCACAGGGTCGGATTAGGGATATCATGACAATAAGTATACCAGATAGCTGAACAGCAGTCAAGCTTAGTGCGGATGTATGAATAATATAAAGTCTTTAATGCTCCAATGTCCTTGAACCCACGACAGTTTCATATTACAAAACTTTCACTTTCATTACAAAACCTTCATAATAATGTGCTCAACAGAACTCAGCCTTGAGTCGAAAGTGACACCCAGATCAGTGATTGAGGAACAAGGTGACAAAACCAAACCATTAATATTATAATAAAAATCTATAGTTGATCTTTTTCTAGTGTATGCCATCACTTTACACTTCGATGCATTTAACATTAACCTATTTTGCATGCACCAATCTGACAATATATCTAGGTCCTGCTGAAGCGCTAAACAGTCATATATATCTAATACTGAGAGGTATATCTTAAAGTTATCTGCATAAATGAGTCTACAAGAGTGTAAACGGTGATCGAGATCATTAATAAATAACAAAAATAGCAATGGTCCAAGGTTAGAACCTTGAGGGACGCCTGATTTTGCAAAGTAAACAAGTGACGAATGACCGTTATGAAAGACAAACTGCTGCCTTTCCAGAAGGTATGACATACAGAACCTTATCAAGGTCTTAGAAAAGCAAAAATTGGTTCAATTTATCAATCAATATCCCATGATCCATTCTGTCAAAAGCCTTTGAGAAATCAATGCTGAGTTATTACAGGTATATTACTTTCTGTTTAAGAAACCATGCTGCGAAGGCGATATTAGGTTGCAGACTGAAGCATATATGTGATTATAAATAACAATCTCAAAGATTTTTGATATATTTGACAGAATAGAAAACAGACCCATAGTTTTTGATTGTGTGTTGTCATCTGATTTAAAAACAGGAATAATTCTTGCCTCTTTCCACCGCTCTGGGAAGCTCTCTGATTTTAATGCTAAATTAAATATTATGTTTAAGGTCATTTTATTGCTTAATTTTTTACTGTGTGTATAAGCAATAATAGGCATACAGATGTAAGTATAAAAAAATTCAGCACACATGCTTAAAAAAAAACCATCTTTAGAGAGTTAAAGAATTTGTAATTTATGAGATTCCAGATCTTTAGGAGTTCATATATAATTTTTTTTTAAATAATTTTATTGATGGAGAAAAGCAAATATAGAGGCCTGTAATTGGAAAAAATGTTTTTTTCTTCCTTTTTTTAGGCACCTGTTGGATATAAGCAGATTTTCAATTTCATATGGAAATTGAAAAACAAAATTGAAAAACACCTGTAAAACATGAGATGTTATTAAAAGATTAGTTGTTACCTGATTTGAGCCGCTGCCAGACTAGCCACAGAATTGCTAGTGATTTTATTCTGCAAATCTCTTCTAAGATAGCTTTTATAACTAAGGCCTTCAGTACCAAAATGCACAACAGCCCCAGGTACAAATCCCTCTTCCAGCAACATTCTATTTTCTTCTAAAACACACTTGGGTGGAGTTGTAACTAAAAAAACAAATAACTATACATAATACGCAATAGCATATAAAATTGTTTTACTTACAGACATAAAAATTCATAGATTTATCCTCCAAATATTGTCTAACAAACTCTAAGACATCCTTAATGGTATCTGAAGGATTAAATGTACCCTGAAGCACCACCCTATCAGGAAACTGAATTCTAATAATGGCTTTTTTATATCTGTTCACTTGTCTCAGTTGCTTTTTAGAATCCTCTAAATCTCTCAAATTTGAAGTTCGAAGGGGAGTGTTTTCCAAGAAATGACGTTGTTTTCTTACATCTCTAAGTAATTTTCTGGCATCATCTATTGTTAGATCGAAAAAGTCATCTGGGAGATCTTCATGAGGTATGGCTTCAGCTGTTTCTTGTGAAAAGAGCATGGCATTTCTTTCCCCTAACTAAATTTTAAAATATTGTGATAAAGAATAGAAATCATGCTTGTAAAAAATACTTACAAATACAAAGTCATCTTTAATTTCCATGTTTTCATCTGAATCTTTACAGGTCCCTTTGCAAGTTGCAGGGCAACTGATTTCATCATCCACATCCATAGCATGACTTTTACAAGAACAGGGATTTTTCTTTTTGGTAGGCTTAGGACTAGTTTTAACTTGCTTTTCAGAAGTACTCTTTTTTCTTTCTGCCAATTGTGGGCTTTGAAATTCTGTACTTTTTCTTTTTTCTCTAGCTAACTTTAACAAATCAACATTATCCTTTTTCTGTGCACGTTGAGGTGCAGCATTTTCTGAAGAGTCATCATCAGTAATTCTTGGAGCACCATCTTTAGATTTTTCAACATCCTCAGGTTCCTCAATTGGCTGATATTTCCTGATATAAGGTTTTTCTTCAACAGGTTTTGATGGTAACACCTTCGACACATTTGCTTGTGTTTTTAAATCTTCTGGAGCTCTGTTTAAAATTCTAATCATTGCTCTGCCTCCTGTTAAACCCAAAGTTCTCAAGGTAACATCTTCTAATTCTTTTCCATAAATTTCTCTCCTAGTATAAATGACAACAGGACTTAAATCATGCTGTAAGGCTTCAGGGCAGAGCTTTTTTAAGACTTCCAAAAGAGTATCATTTGGAGAAAAGTTTCCAGTAAGCCTTTTACCACTTTCTAGATTTGCAGCTAAGATAACATCAGACTCTTTGCGAACTTTGGTAGCAGGTACTAGTTCTAATTGGGCATTATTTGGCAATCCCGAGAATCTATATATTTGTGAAGTATCTAATACTTTGTTATGATGTTTTAAATCAAATTCATCGGATTTTAGCTGTTGTTTTCTACAAACTTCCTCCAAAATCTACAAATTAGTAATGGTGTAACATGTCGAAATTGAATATTCAAAAATATTGCATAAATAAAAAAATATTTAACCACCAACCTGTAAAATTGTGGTATTTGGGGTACATTTTACTGTTTGCCGCCTTCCATTTAAGGCTAGCACGCACACCGATCCGCCAGACATATTTTTATATATCTAATTCTAAAATTTGTTGGTCACTGATCTATATTTACTTGTGTATGTTTTTAAATTGAACGTCAAATTTTATTTAACCTATATTTTTATGATGATATTACGAAATTATAATAACATCGCTTTTTAAACACGTAAAAGGCAAGTGGCCCTTTACGTATGTAGTAATATAGCTACTCTTCTATCTTTTGGTCCTTTTTTCAAAGTATATAATTTTGACCTTTTATTAAGTTGGTAATTAGATCTTTTTTGTGGTTACAGCAAATAAAATTTTGGCCTCTTGTGAATGTAAAAATATAGTAAATATCTAATTTTTCATTTCTATAATGGTCTTTTACGTATTAACATAAACCGAACTCTACTTTCAAAATATTATTATAACCAAAGTATTTTTAAAATGTTGAGAAAAATTTTTAAAACAAATTTCGTGAACGTTTTAAGAAATGTTTCGTCAGCGGTTGATGGCAGTATTATTCAAGCTACTAGTTTAGTGGATTTGACAGAAAATAAACAAAATGCTTTAACAGAAGTAGAACATTCAATACAAAAAGTACCTAGGACTGATCTATCAGAAATATCGAAAGTATTAAGACCTGGTGCCGTGTCTTCTATGTACGTGAACAAATCGGATGTCCTTCAGCAACTTGTAAAACTAGGAGTAAATCTTTACCAAATAGAAAAAGACCCAGAAGCAATGAAGTTTATTTTAACTCTCAAATTTGAAGATATCAAAGATACTATTATATATCTTAAAGAATTAGGCCTAGAAACTGAACAAATAGGCTATGCAATAACGAAAAATCCATTATTACTACAAGAAAATTTGGAAGATCTTAAAGTTAGGGTAAATTATTTGCAATACAAGAAATTTACACCCGAAATGATTACTAGGATTGTTGAAAATAATCCGTTTTGGTTAACATATAGGTAATCTATTTTATTCCACTATATAAAAATCCAGTACTTTTAAATTTATTTTAGTACACAAGACATCGATAATAAATTGGGGTTTTTTCAACATCACTTTTCACTAACAGGAAAAGAAGTTAGGCTTTTAACAACTAAATGCCCTAGACTTATAACATACCCTATTAAAAGTGTTAAACTAAACACTTTTGTAGTCAAGGAAGAAATGGGATTTTCATCTGAAGAGATTAAACAAATTCTCTTGGATAGGCCACAAATATTTAAAACTAGTAAGAAATTATTAATTACCAAAGTTCCCTTTAAAATTTGAACAATCTCAAGTTTATTAAGTAATTTTTTTTTAGGTCAACACAAGCTTCTCAAGACATTTGAATACCTCCACAATGAAATGAAAATACCACTGGAAACAATAGCTGAGATGCCACAGATACTTAATTGTAGAGTAAAAAGGTTAAAAGAGAGACATCAGTTTTTGGTTAAGTTAGGAAGTGATCAATATGATTGTAAGAAACCGAATTATGTATCATTATTGGCTTTAATTTCCAACAATGATACTCATTTTAGCACAGAAGTAGCCAAATCGTCAGTTCAGTTATATAACGAATTTTTAAAGACTTTATAGACATTTAATATAAATGTTTTTATCTAAGATTTTTTTTTTTTTAATAAAACAAGTTGTATAAAAAAGTGTATATTTCAGTACTAAAATTTGTAAATTTACACAATACGTATGTCAATACTAAAAAATCAGTACTAATAAAGTCTACAATAATTATCAGCACACAATATAAAAATTAAGTCATTCATTAATGCTTATAAAAACTCCATTTCTCTCTCAATGCCTACAAACTTCAGTTGTTCTGTAGGTCCATATCTAAAACAAAAATTAAACTAAGTACAAAATATTCACTGTGACATCAGGCATTAAAAATATGACATTTGACATATAAAACTTTGATCATTACAATTTGACCTTTGTAATATCAGATTTTGACATCTTATTACCTGTAATCAAAGAATAATTCCTCTCCCGGCTGTATAGGCCTTTTGGCGAAAATTCCAATCCTGTGATCCCCATTGACCATCATAACTTTGGCATAACAATTTGGGTTAATTGAGTGATTCGCGAATCTGATTTTGTTTCCTTTCCTGGTAGCATCCACCACAAAATCTACAAGAATATGAAATTGTTCAACTGGAAAATAATTAACCCAAGTTTTAAATAAATACCATTGTTTAAGTTGAACAGGAAACTGCACATGTATTTATCATAAACTTTGCCCCTCCTGTCCGCCTCGTCCTGTGATATAATTTCACCGCAATACTCTGAAATGAATTCGTTCTTTTGAGCACTGTCTTTCAAAAATATACCCCATCCAGCAACGTCTGAAGGTGCCATCAACAAATGCTTGTCTGAAAACAAAAATCCAGGTAAAAGTTGACAGAGGACTTAATTAAAACTTCCAAGACAGATGACAAGCGACACTTAATGTCAAAATTGTTACTTACGTAAAGCACGCTGGACGCTGACGTTCTTGCAAGTAATCCTGGTATTGTCAAACTGATCGGCGCCGCACGTTTGACACAGATCTGGATCGCATTCTCTGACAGCCAGATAACAAGGACATTGCTTTGTGTTACACTGAGCTTTGCATCTACATCCAGGAAATCTATTTTGACCTACAATAACAAACAGGAATCTAATTACCATCATATTAAAAATATATATTTGACTCACAGTCTGAGCTGCAGTTGCAAAACTTCTCACAGAAATTCTGAGCCCCGATGCAGGGGCAGTTGTGATCGCAATTTTGTCCCGGATGATCACAGGGAGTAAAGTTGTAAACGTGGTTGCTATTGGAATCCTTTTTCAGTTGTATTTTGCGGCAATGCATTGACCAAAGACGGTGCTTCTTCTTCTTCTTTCGTGGCGGAGTGTAGTCGCGAATCTGTTCTTCGGATGGAATGTCTGCTGATTCTTTCTGAGCAAATTCGTAGACCTGTAACAACAATGTATTTTTAGGTTAATACATTATTACATCCAGTGAAACTCTAGACTTACTTGCTGGCAGGTTTTGGTTAGCATTATCTGAGCGATGGCACAATAATTATTGAGGAATACTTTGTGGAGTATTCTAAAGAGACTTTCATCAGAACCAGTCCATTCTTTGTGATCGTTGGCACCCATGAGTCCTATTAAGCTAAATGATGTTGTTGTTGATACTGGATCTGAATTGTCATTGTCTAAACAAAAAAATTCACAGTACTGTTAGTAAAATGAAACTAATGACAGGTAAAAAAAGTTACCTTTATATTTGTTGCTATCATTGCTGTCTTCAGAACTGGCTTCATTTCCGCTATCTACGCTTTGTTGCTTGCAAATTTTCCTAGGGTTATTGACACTGATGGATTTAACAATTTCTGTGGAAACTTCTGCGTTTTTAGGTACTTTTACTTTCACATCCTTGTCCTCTGATTCCTCCTCTTCTTTTGCTTTGGCAGCCATAGTTTCTTTAACCTCGGCCTTCGGAATATTTTTTACATTATTACACGGTTAAAACATAGGTTTTCACAATTTTTTTCAGCAATAAAAGAAAAAACGTATCGCTTACCAGAGACAAGTAGCAGTCGCCTCCGCAAGGATCTGTGAACGGTTTGAGGTCTGGACCTCTGCGTTTCTGCAAATTCGGACCTGGATGGCAAGCTTGAAGCCCTGTTTATAGAGATTGTGAATTACATAATGCTAAGGTGTTAAATAGATGATTTTCGCTCCTATTCACGTCGGTTTTTGGCACCCTCTTCAAAAGGTTAGTGGCTGAGAAATAGGAACGCCATCCACATTCACACATCACGGCAGTGTTTTTGTATTTGTTCTACTGCTTTGAGTTTAAAATCTACTGTATCAAATATAATAAATACGCTATTTCTATTTGCAAATAAGTAAGAGTTTGATTGTGCCTCATAAACAAAGAGAGCACAGTTGTATAGTAAGAATCTGATTCAAATTGATTAGTTTATTTGTGTTTTTTTTTTCAGAATATTAATCTTTATTTTTAATATAAATTTAATGTTTCTATTTTTCTTCCACCAACCTGTTTTACAAAATTTTCACCTGGTATCACTGAAGTACCCTACTTGCATTTAATTGTGTGCAAACGACTGAATAATGTGAATGCAGAGAGCGTTTTAGATCATGAGGTTTAAAGCCATTCAAATAAATAGTTTAATAATCATGGTATTTACAAGCAGATAAATTAAAATATAAAGTTTAGGCTTTCAACCCTTCATAACTAATGTGATGTCTTGTAGTTTAAATGAGTAAAAACTTGTATATGGATAAAATAAAAAAAATATCTCAAAATATTGCTATTCAAAACACGTTAGCGGCAAAGGATTAAAAATTATTTTCTTTTATCCATTGGAATAATACAAACATATTTGAGCGTTTTAACAACCTAATGAAACTTATCTCTAGATGAAATGTCAAAATGAGATTGTGAGTTATATTAATTTATTCATTTTTTCTGTTATTTTTCCAATTTTTTTTTTACATTGTTGTGTAAATGGGATGAAATGAGTATCTATCGATTTTTTATTCATCTTTACCTGGCTGTCCTAAAGTATGCAGCGAAACAGAACAAAACTCCTCAACTGTCATTACTTTTACAAACCTTACTTACTCTATACTATTTCTAAGAGTTTCATATTAAAAAAAATAATAATACAATATTACAACTGATTTTCTTTGGTTTTAAAAGAAGAAAATGTACTTACTATGCAAGAAACAGTCGTATTTGAAGCACCTTCTGCAGAATAAGGTATGAAAGGAATGCAGCGTTTGCTCACGAGGTACTGAGGCAGCATTAGGTCCATCGATATTTGGAGTACATTCTGGTGGAGCGTTAGGATCAGTCCTTTCAGTTAATTCCACATACCTACATGAATAAAAGGTATACAGATCATTCACACTCTTTTAAAATAGTGTTTGGCTATGAAAGTCTCGATATATATCATGTATAATATAATAAAAATTCATTCTGAATCTAAAAAAGTCAGTGGTGCTGTTTTTATTATCATGCATAACAGGTTGAAATTACAAAAGAATGGGTTTTGACAATATTAAGCATTATTCTTGAAAAATATAAGTAATTTGAGTACTTTGTAAGAAGCAGCTTTTTAAAAGTGGACATTTAGCAACACTGTATATCAAAATCTTTTGCTACAAATCAAAACAATGGCAACACTGTTTCACTCCCGTATGACTGCAGTGTTGCCAACCTGTGAGAATTTTCCTAGAGTACCTATAGGAATTTATTCTGCAAAAATATGAAAAATGAAAAAATTCACAATCTTAAAATATGGGATTTTTTTGTACAGTCGGATTGACCATGTTGATTTTGGTTTTACCCACAATCTTGTACTATTTTCAGTATGTCTGGAGACTAGGTGGTGACTCTTTAAGTTCTTTATTTGTTCATTTTTATTTGGGTTCTGGGTTATTTAAAGTATATTTTCTCTTTTATTTTTCATTTTTTTTTTGTATTTTGATAGTCTAAAAACAGTATCAACATCTAAATTTGTTATATTTGTACACATTTCACTAATTTACAATTTTTTTATAATTTCTATTACAGAACAATATTTTTTATTATATTTAAATGTTTTTATTTTCAAGTATATTATATTCGTTTTACATAATTTTTATATAAAATGTGTTTAATCGATTTCAAATGAAAACAAACATGGGAAATTTTATTGTGCATTCCATAAAATTGGTTGGCAACTCTGTATACTTGTCAACTTTCTTCACTTCAATGCAAACTAATTAAAGTTGTCAAACTAACACTCCTTGATTTTCTTAGATCCCTAATGGATTATACACAAGTTTCTGGTTAACATGTACTCACTTGTCTCTCAGTTCTTCTGGTCCTCCTTTATCAGGAAACTGGGAAGAAATGGCTTGAAATATAACAGTAGTAGGAAAATCCAATTCATCCTTTTTCTTATCATCCCCAACCTTCTTATCCTTATCTTCCTTTTTATCCTTATCCTCCTTTTTTTTATCTTCTCCAACCTTCTTATCCTTTTCTTCCTTTTTTTTATCTTCTCCAACCTTCTTATCCTTTTCTTCCTTTTTCTTATCTTCCCCAACCTTCTTATCTTTTTCTTCCTTTTTCTTATCTTCCCCAACCTTTTTATCCTTTTCCTCCTTTTTCTTATCTTCCCCAACCTTCTTATCCTTGTCTTCCTTTTTATCCTTATCCTCCTTTTTATCCTTATCCTCCTTTTTATCCTTATCTTCCTTTTTATCCTTATCATCTTTCTTCTTCTCAGTTTTATTTTCTTTATCTTGATAGTTCATCAAAGCATGAACAAGTTCCACGAATAATTCGTCATCTATGAAACCAGCTTCTCTGTCACCATGCACTTTTCCATCATAGTTTTTGATGAGTTCTTCTATAAATGTACCATCTTGATCCAAGATTTCGTCACCCATGTACGGTATGTTGTGCAAAACTGTCTCATCTTCCACCATGAAATTTTGTTGAATAGGAGCCCATGTGTACATCGTTGGGATGGGGGTAACGGCATTCATTATTTTTATGGTTACCACCTGTATGTCTCCTAGATAATTAAAATTACTAAACTGTAAAAGTTTTGAATGAAAATGTGTAGGTACCTATTTGCTATTGTGGTTTAAAAAATGACAGCAACTTCAAATATACACCACTGATACCATAACTGCATAATTAATAATAATAATATATTATGATATATTTGAGAAAATTTGTTTTTTTTATGGTGTAAATCCAAGAAAACTGCACAATATGTCAATGCATTCAAAATAAATGTGCAATTTGGAAAAAAGTTTTAAAAAAGAATGTAGTAATAATTATAAAAAGAAACTAAAAGAATATGACTCTCCCCTTTCACATTATCTATAAACAAAAATCAGACATAATATCAATTTCAACATAGTAATAATAAAAATGCCTAATCAAAATATTTTTATTGAACACAATTAACCTTTCAAACATACAAACACAAAAAGTAATAAAGAACCTATAATAAAAAAAAACACTTATACCTCATTCCACTTTGTACTATTAAAAACAGCTTAACATCTATTTCTAACTACAATATTTAAACTTTTCATGTTTAAAACAACATATCAGTTGAAGAAAAACAGAATACAAACTTTGAGTGTGTTTTGGGCCACATCCTTATGCAATATGTTCAACAATATTTTAAAGTGGTTGATAAAAATATCACTATATTAGCAATTTTTAACTTCTACCCCTTTCCCCACACACCAGCCAACTTAGGACACCATGTATTCCATGCATCCATGAGTAAATAATATGTTAAAAATTATATATGCTATTAAAGGGTACATTTATTTAAACCTTAGGAATTGTCATTCCTTGCATGAACTTTTAATGAAATGAGATAAGGTTCAGCTATTTAACTTGCTATTTTTAAGTTGAAAAGATTAAAAAAGCTATCTTTCCTGCATGTTGATGGACTGCAATATTTATAAAAATGCTCACCTTCATTGCCTATAACTTCGGCTTTCTTCATGCAGGCTGCATGGGCGGGCAGTTCAGAAGAGGTGGCCCAAAACGCTTTGCTGTCAGCCCATCGTTTCTGTTCTTCGAGAAGAGTTTCAGTCATCTTCTGACGATTTTGATTCCAGGCTAATTTCACATCGTCAGCCCTTTTGTACCTTTTCATTTGCCTTAATCGCATGTATTCTTGTTTCACCCTTCTTTTCCATTCTACGCTTACTTTAGTTTTAGCAGACATTTTCGCTAAATTTGACTAACTTTTAGTAAAAATTTCTTAGGAAACTGGGAAATGCTGTATCATGACGCTACTATCCAAACATATGAATGCATAATTTTATGGAAAGGTATAGTGGATTTGTATGGGTCGAAATGAACTGGATTATAACTAATGTTGGGAAAATATCACATTATTATTAATTACTTAGAATTAAAGAACACAGTAAAAACCAATACATTCTCTTGTCACTCCACAAGATGCACTTCCTTCTCCTTTCTTCTTCCCTTCCTCTCGCGCCAACAAACTAAAATGTCAAAGTCAAAATATGACAAATGACAAAAAAATATCAGCGCCTGTTTACAGGATTAGATTCCGGCGTTGCCATGTCTTTTCCTATGTTGAGTGACCTTTTCATCGACTGTTGCATTCGTAATATATATGCAAACAGTTACGACATGCTTATTTTATAAGGCGGGTGAATATTTACGAGATGAGCAGAGCGAGGTTCCGTAACATGAACGAGTTATATAAAATAGCATTTCGTAACGTGTTACATACAATATTATTTCTAATTAGGTTCTTTCGTTCGTTCCTACACCAAGGAACACTAAACCTTTCGTTTGGCCCGGTGTAAAATCCACTACACCTTCCTGTCGGCGGTGGATATTTTCTCCACCAGCTATTTAAAAGGAGTGAATTACACTCGACATGTATATAAGGAATAAAGAGAAAGTAAACTAGGTAAATAAGGTGGTTAATTGACACTGGTGTACACTGTACCAACAGCGAACGAAAGAACCTATTTTAAACTAATTATTTTTGTAAAATTGTGTTTTAGTAAAAAATTACCGACATCTAGGCAACCAATACAACTTTCTAGTATTCTTAGTTGCATATGCATAACTTTATTAATTTCATTTGCAACGACTTGTTTTCTAACTGGGAACTAGGCACAGATGGCGATACTATTTTCCCACTTTCAATACTTTTCTCTTCGTAACCAACATTAAAGACTGGAATTAAAAACCATCTATTTTTTGCTGAAGAGTTCTATAATAAGGACGAAAGCGGCCTAAGAATGACGTTCTCCTTAGTAAACAAAATCAAAGGTAGGGTCTTGAAATTAAATTTCAATATCTGCTCTATTTCCTTTGGATGTAATTTAATACCTGTTGTAGTATTAGCCAAAGGAGTACGTAGTTATTTTCCAAGGAAAACGGTCGCTCTATTTTTGTGTGACATACGGTTTGGTGTTGTATTTATTTTATTTCTAGACTTGCTGTGTGTTTATAATTTTATATTGCTTTTTAAAGTTATTTAGTTGTCAAAAAGTGGGTTATTTCGTCATGTATTGTGTTTTACTTATTTTGTGCTAATTGGAATGGAAAATAAGGACCAAAACAACATTATTACTAGGTTGTGAGTTTAACCAAATTCTGTTTTTATAAGTCAACCTACCCTTCTTTGATATAAACTTTCCATAATAATGTGTATATTGATTTTTTTATTGAACTTATCAAGTAAGAAAAAATGTACCTATACATTAAAGTAATTTCAGTAAATATTTCCTTATTTCATTTTCTTCCGACACATTGTTTATAAAAAGTAACAAAAAAAAAATGTCATTGTATTTGTAATTGAAAAAGCTTTCAAATAAAAAATTAATCACCCTACCCTTCCATTTAAAAAAAAGTTGGGGGTGTCTACAACGCCCCAGATAATTAAAAAGAAAAACAAATCTCTTTATAATATGCCCCATTGAAAATAAAAATTGACGTGTTTCAGGAATTTTGCGACAAACCTTTATTTATCAAGTTACCGAATTTGTTCCAGTTAGACTTTCCACTCTGTATAAATAATACATTTGTTATCATTCATTTAAGCGTAAAACGATTTTTAAACGTGCTATTTTTCAACTTTATTTTAAAAAATTACTCTGTAGAGTTGTTTTGAAAATGGTTGTTATCGTATTTTGGTAGTTAGTCACAAATATCAATAACGTTTACGATTTAAAGTATTTTTGAAAATTATGAGAATTCGCAAGTTTCCACACAGCACAAAAATATTGCATGAATATTCAATGCATATCTCAATTGCAAACCTATATTCCGTGGATAAGATCTGCTATAGCATATGACAGGAATATTCAAGGTTACCATGAAACATATGCCCACGATATGTTTTTATCTGCCAAAATATGTGTATGCCATATTCTCTGGATTTACTGAGAATATCTACGTATCGCCTTATTCCCTATTTTCATGGTATTTTGAATATTCATGGCTCATTGAATTTTTTTTTGTAATGCAGTAGGTACCATAGATTAGAAAATAAAACTCATACTTAAATACAAATTTGAAGTTACTTGTTTAAAATCTAATTACCCATGGAAAACAATTGAATATTGACAGTTCATCTATGTTCAACTACACACTGCGCGCGCCTCTGGAGTTTAGTTTTTAGTCGACGCCGGTAAAAATGTTTTTGAAAGTACATAACGTTTTCCCTGTAATACTGTGATTTTTTATGTAAAAAACTACAAAAAGCCTTAAATTTTATTATTAGATTTTTTTTAAAACATTTACTATTTAGTGTTTCCAAAACTGTGTTAAAACTATTGAAAATATGAGATTCATTAAACTTAAATGTTTGTGAAATTCCTAAGGACGATGTGACTTACGCCATCTTAAGAAGGTAAGGTACATGACATGTAAACATTTATAAATTAAATTGGTGATTATTAAAATTTGCTTTTATATATCTTAACATTGTACTTTATAATAAAGCTTTTTCTTTGAATTTTCACTTGGTGAAAAAATAACCACAAGAACTATTTCAGTTCGCTTTTTTTATATTTTTGTGTGCTCATAACTAGACCAAAAAGAGTTTAAAATTTATGAACAAAATTAGTAAAGGTTAACATTTCTGAGATTTTTTGGTGAAATTTGAACATTTTTATTGCTTTTTTAAAATCAATAATTCATATTTAAAGATTTTTATAAATGTTTTCACGTGCTTGCTTAATAAATATGCCTATTTAAAAAAATTCAATCACTAGTTAATTTTTTTGTTTTAGGTGTAAGCCCTAATGACCATATTGGTAAGTTTTTTTTACTTTACCGCAGACAAGATAAGTATCTTACAGGGTGGAACTTTTTTACAGGGACAGTATTATTGCTATTTTCTAAGAAATACATTATTGATTACTAGAAACAGGTATGTTAGTAGGTGTTTTATACAGGGTCTATTAAATGGAAAAAAATTGTTTAGTTAAATAAGCAGTTTATTGACGAAAGAAGTCGACGATATCAGAGTCGGTATTTGGAATAAATGAAAAAGGGTTTATTTCGTATTTTATTATAGGTAAATGTAAATAGACAAAAAAGTATTCTCGTTTGATTCTTCCACTTGCTTATGTTGTTTGAGTCAAATTCACAACCAAGTAGAATCATTTAAATAAAAAAAAAAAACAAAACTTCAGCAGGAGTGCGTTTAAAACGGGTGTTTTACAGTGAGCGGAATTTTTCACACGTTTCTGATAAAACGTGCATATTTTCAAGGATTTAGCCAATGTCACTTATATGTCACTTTTAGGATGATTAATAATATTGATTGATTTTAACAATTTCTAGTTACTACTTTTTAACAGACTTCAAAAAAGGAGGAGGTTCTCAATTCGTCGTAATTTTTTTTTATGTATGTTCAGCGATAATTCTTTAACACGGTGTCCGATTTCAATGATTCTTTTTTTGTTAGAAAGGGGGTACTTTAGGGGTGATCCCATATAACCTTGGCCAAAATCTAATAATTGAGTCCATGAGAAAATCCTCAAACTCTTCATTTTTTATACATGTTTATCAATAATTCTTTACTAACTTATCCGATTTCTATGATTTTTTTTTTGTTAGTAAAGGGTTACCTCAAGGGTGGTCCCATATAAATTTGGTCAACATGTGGTAATGGCATCTGTACGATTTTGAAGTCGGTTTTTTAAAATTATTTTTAATACTTGTTATTATAATACCTACAAAAGTATCTAATTTCTTATAAATATGATTTGCAGTACTAAAAAAGTCTAATAGCTGAGAATTTCTTTCAATTATTATTAATTCTACAATTAGCAAACTTGGAAGATAACAATTCTCAAAGATTCAGACATGGAGAGGCAGAATGCATTTTTTTGAATTTAATTGATATTGTATGAATATTTAAGGTGATTACAGCACCCCCTTATAAATTTCGGACAAGGATATCTCAAAAAGTGATTTTTTTAAATAATTAAAATTTTGGCAAAATATATTAGGCAATAATATCTAGAATATGCATATATTTTAAAGTTTTAATTATTTCCAGTTTCCGAGAAAAAAATCAAAGGGCTCTAAATTTTAAAATATCATAATGAAAATAAATGCATTCCTCAACAGCAGTATTCTTAATATAATCCCAAAAGTTAGGCTCTTAATCTCTTGTTAATGATTTTTTAAAATTCGCCGAAATTAGTGGCTAAAATGCCTCGTTAAGTGCTATTTTCTGGTTTAAACTGGTGTAAACTGGTGTAAATCGTTGCAAGAAACGAGTGATGACTCAGAGTGTACGATACGATAGTTACAGACGCGTTACACCAGAAAGCAGCACTTAATGAGGCGTTTTAGCCACTAATTTCGGCGAATTTTAAAAAATCATTAACAAGATATTAAGAGCTTAAATTTGGGGATTGTATTAAGAATACTGCTAGCTGTTGAGGAATGCTTTTATTATATTATGATATTTTAAAATTTAAAGCCCTTTGATTTTTTTTCTCGGAAACTGGACGGAATTAAAACTTTAAAAAATATGCATATTCTAGATATTATTGCCTAATATATTTTGCCAAAATTTTAATTTTTAAAAAAAATTACTTTTTGAGATATCCTTGTCCAAAAATTATGAGGGGGTGCTGTAATCACCTTAATGTGTAAGAATTTAATTCTTAAATCATGTATATTTTATTTACAAATATAATTTGATTGCGGTTCAAAGCTGTTCTGTATCCCACTTTGTGTCCAGAAATTTTAACAATTATGTAAAATTGCCACAAAATATTAAAGAACAGAATGAGATAAGCAAAGTTATTATTTAAAGTTATTTTGTACTATGAAAACTAGGTTTTTTATGACGTACGATTTTCCTGAAATTATATATTATGTGATTAGAAAAAACCATCATTCGATAAGTTTACAATTGGTTTATTGTAATTAAAACATAATTCTTGTTTTTTTATGGCCTGCACATTACTTGAATTCAACGATATAGATAGTTTACAGT